GACAAATTAGGACGTATCTGTCCATCACTATTCGTCCGTTGATCGGACCATTTACAAACAACATCAATCAAAATCCAAAAACATATACAATCCACTTTCTAGAAAATAATGAAAATTAATTTTTTTGGTGAATTATTTATAGATTAAAAAAAAGAAAAAAGATTGACAGTTAGAAATCATTATGGTATTAATATAAACATATTAAATGGTGTAAGCATTATTTTCAAAGAATAATATTAAAGAAAAAAAATCTTAGAAATTAATAATGGTATTAGCATTATTATCATAAATGGAAAAACATTAAGGGTAACGGAAAGAATTTTTTTAAGAGTTTTTAACTTATTAAACAGTTTTTAGTTGTTTGATTAGTTAAAACGTTATTAGCTTGAACCCAAAAAAACTAATTTCTGAAAAGTTAATATAGCCAGCATTTTAGAAAGTTTTTTCACCTTAATTGTATTTATTCCTTATTAGCATTTGCTTAGTTTTTAAGCTATTCTACTTCTGTATTTATGCTTGTTTTTTTTAAATCAATCCAGAGAATCCCTAATAATACTAAACAAACACATTCTTAGTTGCACTACAAAATAAAAGTAAGAATTACTCACGGAATTTTTCCGTGAGTAAATCGATTTATGATAGAATTACTCACAAAAGGATATTCCATCTGTAAAAATATCTACGCTAAAATTAAGCGATGAAAATTCCCTGAGTAATTTTGTGACGGAATTACTCACATAATTTTCTATGAAAAAATTACTCATCGAAAAAAAAAAGTACTTGTTTGTGACGAAAAAAATTCTATGAAATCGGGCCGGCCTAATTTTTATTTAAAACTATTTGTTTTTTGTTTTTAAAGTAATTTAATAAAATTTTTAGTAAGTGTTATAAGTGGAAATTGAACCCAAAATCAAATTAAAAGAATCAAGAACTTTACCATCTAAGTACAGCAAGGGATGACCTGGTGGTGTGGGATGGACTCAGGACCGTGAGGTCATAGGTTTAAACCATGATGCCTTCAGGTCTTTTCTGTCATACATAGTTTGTCTAGTGTGACTTGCCTTGTCAGACCTAGTTTGCATACTATTAGGTTCGGTTCAGGGTTTACCCAGAGTGCACCCAAAGAGTAGCGATTGCAGGTTCCCACGTTAAAAAAAAAAAAAAAAAAAAAAAAAAAAAAAAAAAAAACTTTACCATCAAACTACACCTTAAATTTTGTCATTAGTTCTTTAGTTATTGTATATAAAAAGATATTAAAATTAAACATTAATTTTAATAAATCAGGTCGGGCATGGGCCGGTTAAATTGTGTGTCGGGCCAGGAACAGCCCAAAAAAATCGGGCCTATTTTTGAAAGCCCAAGCACAGTTTTTCGTGCTAGATTCGGATCAAGTTTTTGGACCTTGCCTATTTTTGTCAGCTCTAGTTATTTCGTTGCAAAATTACTCACGAAATTTCCCTTCACAAAAGGTCAACTCAATGTTTGATATTATTGTTTGCGGCAAAATAAATTATGTGAGTAGGTTGGGGAATAGATGTTGCACCAAAACTCCTTCAACACCTATAACAATTAATATATTTTTATTTTGGGTAAAACTTAATAAATCAAAACCCTTTTATTTTTATCACTCTTTAAAAAAAAACAAATATTTTTATCTATATTTGAAACTTCAGATCTTTTATAAAATTAGTTTATGTTAATTATAAATAAAAAAAATATATTTTTTTATTTACTTGTATTATAAATAAATATATATTGCATATTTTTTTATTGCGATATAAATTTTAAAATATTTAAAATACATATTCTAATTTTTTATTCATATATATTAAATTTATTTTAAAACTAAAAATATTATTAATTATATAAAAATAATAAAATAATACTCCATTATAACTAATTATTATTAACTAATTAAATATTTGTTTACTTGTAAAGTTTTTATCCTAATTTTACTATTCCAATTTTTTTCCCTCCTAAAAAAACCAAATCAAACACTTATTATTTATTTATTATATTACACAAAAATTTTATGTTACATTCAAAACATTACATCAATACATATTTATATCACATCAAATAACTATTTCAATTCAAAATTTTACTATTTAAAACCATCACCCAAAATCAAAATCTTACAAATAAACATACATTATTTAACTGAATATAATATTTTCCAAATTTAGTATCATAAAATTTAATTTCATTATCGTAATATTTTTAAAATTTATATAAATATTAAAAATATATCATCATATTTTTTCATAATTATAGATACTTATAAATAAAAAATAGTAGTAAAAAATATATTGAATAAATTTATTACAAAAAATGTAGAAATTTGTGTTATTGTGTTTGTATATATATCTGGAAAAAATATATTTTATATATTCCCAAAACTCATCACTTTTATACGCAAAGTCTGCTCGTCCAATGACCTTAACCACCGGATAGAATTGAAGTGAGTGAAAATGGGAGAGAGCTAGGGATTTTGATTCTAATTGATTTTGGAATTAGAAGAATTAAATTCATCATTAATTTCGTCGATAATACTAACGTAATTAAATTATGCTCGTAATTCTGTCGGTAAAACACAATTTTTTATTTATTTTGTTTTTAGTATTGCAACAAAAGTAATTTTTTTAAGTGAATTTTATTTATTTTTACCAAAGAACAAGCGGGTGTGTTTGTGTTTGAATTTTTGGGTTTGAATTTTCTAATAGTAAAATACTGAATTTGAATTTTTTTTAGTTTGAATTTGATGTTGACCCTATGTTTTAAATATAAAATAAATTTATAGTATAATATAAAAAGATAAAAATAATTATTTGATATGATATTTTTAATGAAAAAAAATTATAAATAGCAAAAATTTACGATAAAATCCATTAAAAAACACAGTATTATTTGTTGATTTCAGACCATCCAAATTAACTATGGGGGCGTTTTCAATAGATTATATAATTAAAGGATTCATTAATATACTTTCTCCGTCCCAATACAATAGTCATGTTTATCATTTTTGTCTGTCTCAAAACAATAGTCTCATTTACATAAATAATCATATCATTATAAAATTACTCTTACTTTTTTATTATTATTACCACTAATTTTTACACTAATACACTTACAAGGACAAAAAAATTATTTACCCGTACTTTTTACCTACTATCAATATAATATCATCCCGTGCGAAATACCCAGACTATAGTTGTGGGAAGGAGGAAGTATTATTTACTTTGATTAAACAATAAATAAAATAATATTATGTTTACTTTATTAGATTATATAAAATGATTATGTTTTTTATCCAAAATACCCTTAATAATCATACTCCTTTCGTCCCGAAACTAAGTATTCATTCGCTTTTTGCACGTAGTTTTTGAAATATTAGTATTATATTGGGATATAGTAGGAATAAAGTATAAATGATTAAAATAACTTTATTAGTATGTGTGATATAAAGGTAATGACATTTATGCAATATATTGTAAGTTGTAAGGGTATTTGTAATGTTAGGTAGAAAGTACAGTTACTAAAAAAAAAAAATTGATATTTTGTTATGGGACAGACTAAAATGAAAAAATAAATACTTTGTTATGGGACGGAGGAAGTTTTATAAATTATATAATTTGTTTTATACATTTTTTCCTTTCAAAGTATAGTAATATAATATATAATAATCCATTAAAATTTAATTGTGATATCATTATGTATATAATTTGATATAATAATTTTTTATTATAAATTAAATATATTTTATTTTATTTTCAAAATTATAAATTAATGGTGTCTTTAGCCCAGTTTGGGCAAATTCATTGTGCAAACTTGGGCTGTTTAGGTTGGAGGGACAGTCTGAAAAGGCTGTGTTTCTCTCTTCTTTTTTTTTTAAAAAAAAAAATTATAAATAAAAATATATTATAATAATTATAATTGAATAAAATATATACAATATATATATGTAATTTTATATAAAATAAATTTTTTTATAATATAAATAAATAAATAAATTATAAATATATATGTAGGTATAAAATAAATTTATATCAAATTATACAAATTATAAAAAAAAAAAAACACATAAATTCAAACTCACTTCAAAATTCAAATAAAAATAAAATGCAAATTCAAATTTCTCCAAAACCTCTAAAGAAACACACCTTAGATTTTAGTAATATAATACTTCCTCCGTCCCATATTTATATATTCATTTACTTTTTGCAAAAAGTTTTAGAAATATTAGTTATATATTGGAATAGAAATAAAGGTGAAAAGACTAAATTGCCCTTAAGTATTGTATGATATAAAAATAATGGTATTTGTGTAATATATTGTAAATTTGAAGGGTATTTATAATGTTAGGTAAATAGCACAGTTACTAAAAAAAAATTAATATTTCTTATAAGACATACGAAAATAAAAAAATAATTAGATTGTTAAGGGATTGAGGGAGTATATCTCATTATTTTATCACTTTATTATATTTCGTTGATCAAAATAAAAATATATATATTACTATTTTTTTCAAATGAAATCAAAATAAAATATAAATAAATATTAAACAAAAGCATTATTATATTCATATAAAATAATTCTAATATTTTTTTACTATAATTTTTATCAATTACTCCCTCTGTCCCGATTCAGAAGGACTTTTTGAAATTTTCCAGTAAATTAAGAAATAAATAGTATTTTATTAATTAATGAAAATATGTAAAAAAAAATTTTTAACATTTTTGTCATTTGACTTCAAGAAACTCATATTACTAAAGTGAAAGTCAATGATATTTTCATACACTTAAATATGTTATATGATTAAAAATAAAGATAATTTAGTAATTTTATTAAATTATATTAAATAATATTCAGATGTTGAATTAGATTAATAATTCTATAAATTGGTATCAGTGTATCAAACCTGTAATTATCTCGGACTCATATAGATTAAAGGAGATCAGATAAAATAATATTATGCAACCAAATACTTCGAAGTCAAATGAAATAGCCCCTATAAGGATTATTTGTTGATTTCAAAAAATACAAAATTAACTATATACAATATGTAGCTATTACTACTATAGTTTTCTATTTATAACTAATTTGAAAAATCAATTATGCTAAATAAATAAATATAGCTTTTCAATATGCATAAATAAACTGTAAGCCATCATAGATATACCTAATTTTACAGTCAAAACAACAAAGAAATAAATATAAGCGAGCATCCATGTTAAAAAAATGCGTTACCTGAGTCTGCAATTTAGTGGAAAAGAAGCAGAACTTCAGGACTCGTAGGCTTGAATGATCCTCATGGATTCAGCATCCATTGAAGAAATGCCTCATCCCAACATCAGCTGTTCCACGAAATAAATATGGTTTTTGAATCCAAATGCCTACTTGATATTGTGTGTGGGAACACTGAGGTAAAATTTAGTGTTCTTGAAGTCATCCAGCATCGGATTGTAACCATCTCGGGTTCTCGTCTTGGAGGGAAGTCCAAATTCTTCCATAAAGGATGCTGTGTCGAGCTGAAACGGAAATACCACAGTTAGTATCAGGTAGTCGACTAAAAATATTGGTCATCCAAGGAAGTATGTAAAAACATAGTTTTAAGAAAGAACATCAGCATATGCGTAACTGAACAGAAAAGTCTGAGTTATATCATGCAAGATGACAATAAGTGTAAATGTGAAAGTAAGTCAAGGCTAAAATGCAAAATGAATAAAATCGTGATGCAGGAGAATATAAATGTTCTTCCCAGTGGTGTTTTCTTTCTCTAAGTAATACTTTGGGGTTTGCTTTCAACTACACTTCACAGCCTTCGCAGAATACTACTGAACTAAGCATACAATTAGTTAAAAACTTCGCTACAGGTGATCATTGTACACTAAATTTCATAGAAAGATTTACTAGAGGTGTGTTTGTTTGGTGGTTTGGATTTTGAGTTAGAATTTGAGTAGTAAAAATTTTGAATTGAAATAGTTGGATGATGTGATATAAATAGGTGTTGATGTGATTTTTTGAAAGTAAAATTGATTTTTACTATAATATAAAAAATAAAAAATAGGCATTTGTTACCAACATTGTGAGGCATTTTGAACTAAGGGACTAAATCGATTCAAGATCACACCGCTTATAGGAAACTAGGTGTATTGACGCACATAATTTCAATAGAACCATTTTTGGAAGGACATAGTATATTTGTCATTTCCCATGTTCAATCATCTGCCGACTATCCTGCAGTGTAATGTTCATGTAATCCTCTGTTATAAGATAAACGACTATCTCAGGTACTAAAGTGCATGGTAATTAACACAACTATCTCAGGTACTAAAATGCATGGTTAGAAATTACCGCAAGTGTCCGTCTCTTCCTTCCCTTCTTGGAAGAATTATCTTCTTGTGGCTTCCACCATCCAGAGCAGTAATGGTCAATACGTTCAAGAAGCCGAAAATCCGTTGGGAAAAATATATCAGCATCACCCTGTTAAAAAGTATAAACGCCATAATAAATGATAAGGATCACAAAAGTGATTCTCCGGTACAGGAATTAACTTTCAAAGCACATGAAATGAATTCTAGAGTGCATTTGATATGGCTTAAGTCACATAAAAGTGATATTCCTCCACTTCCTGTTTGCCTAAAGGGTACACAAGATCTAATTGACTGTGTTTATTTTTCTGGAGTTTGCATACAAGCGTTGTTGAAAATAAAGGATATCCAATGGTAAGCTCTTTATTCAAATTATAGATGTCTCATGGAGGTAATCATTTTTGGATGGTATTATATATCTACGATTAGTTTCCTGATTTCCTGAAAAAAATAAAAAGCAACAGAAGTTCACCCACATTATCTTGGTTGGATCCTTGATTTTACACCCACCTGGAATCGAAACTTTTGAGATAAATAAGTATCATCTTTCTATTGAAAAGCTCTCCCACATTATCTTTCAGCATATCCTTAGTTATCTAGCTGGTTGTAGTTTTTTCGATTTCTCTCTCATATGGATAGTCTTCTGTCCGCCTATATGCATCTATTCTTCTATCAATTAAAATTACTTCTGCTTCAAAAAAGAAATAAATGAAGCGACGGAAGTTCTCCCAAAGAAATGCTGGGTAAGTCCAACAAGTTAACACTTTGTCTTGTTGTTTTCCAAAAAATTATCTTTTAGTTTGAAGATAATACAATAGCTCCAATGCATGGTTTCAGTTGCAGAAGAAATATGCAGCAGGAACACGAGAGGTTTTATGATCGGAGCAGAAAACCAGGAAGAGAGAATGAGTGAGAGAAGAGAGTGTAATGAAACCATACCTTAGCATCCAGATAACTGTTGAGATCTGAGCTCTTCCCATGTTCCTGAAAAGGCCAAATTGCAAATGAACTGTACAAACTGTTTTCAACATCCTAGTAGTTAAACTTAATAAGATTCAGATACAAAAGAAACAAGCATCTAAATGTGCTTTTATATTACAGAAGGATCAACATATAGAAGAACTAGTAAATGATTTATCACCAAAAATAAGTTGGTGTGTTTGTTTGGAGGATTCTCCCTCAATTTTACTATTCATCCAATTTTTTCCCCCAAAAACATCAAATCAAACATCTATTTTTCATTTTTATATTATACTAAAAATCACATCAATAGTTATTTATATCACATCATACAACTATTCCAATTCAAAATTTTTACTATTCAAATCCCAACTCAAAATCCAAACCCCCAAACAAACACACCCTTAGGAAAAGAAGAAAAAAAAACGCAAGACTTATAAAAAGGATTAAATAGAATCAATTCATTGTACGATTTTCTTGATTGAAAGAAAATCCATATAATTTTAACATAGACACCTGTAGAAACAACAAGTTTATAGTCGAACGGGCACCTAGATCTAGCAACAAGCAGGTTATCTAAACCAATATCAAGACACAAGAGGACTGCCCTAATAACTGAATCAAAGAGCTTATAAAGGCTGATATCCTTAGTTACAACTTTGAAGTATAGAAAGGAGAATTCCTTGATAGAACATGACGATTAAACAATCTCTCGGAATTTAACTTTGTGCCAGATAATCCATGCTAGCATTATTAGGTGTCAGGGGGGTAATGACATTTTACTTAAATAAAAGCACAAATCAACAAGGAAATGCAATAAATAGGCTTTTCTCATTCTACATATTCAAAGTAAACTAAACACATTGCACACAGAAATATTCTCCTTCATACAAGAGGGCAAAAGAATGAATGAAAAAATGAAGGTATCCAGCTTGTCTATGCTACCTTACTTGCAACCAGCGGAGCTCGCTCACCAGGTATTCTTACATCAGGAAGGTAGCTAAAATCAGAGGCAATTAAAGACATCTTTGGTAAAGCACCATGTAGAACTCGTAGAAGTTTCTGCACATTTTCACAAGGTATTACTTCATAAATAAATGCATTCAAAACATCAGAAAATATTGGTACATTTTACTCAATGTTGTCTTACTAAACAACCGGTTGGTAGCCAGCATCTTCGTGGCCTTGGAAAAATTTTGGACCAAATACTTTTGGCCACTGAACCTGCCATGGTTCCACGTGTAGTACCATCTTTTGCCAAATCCAAGATCTCCATACAGCTTCCAATCAATGGATCGTGCAGCGGCTTATATAGCTCAGAGAAGTCTGATCTGTCAAAATTACAAACCAAACAAAAACATATAGATAATATAAATGAGAGGAAATATAATATTATAAAAGAAATAAACTCAATAACAGATACATATTCCAAATAAAACCTAGATTTTCGTCAACTAAGGTAGAGAAAGCAGATTAAGTTTCAGGTTTGTGTTTCATATCTATAATCAGTTCCAAGAAAAACCAGTTAGTAACCAAATATGGAAGATTTCAATGAAGATGGTTATGTATGAATATTGTAACATTGTATAACTAGATTGAGGTGCTAGATTAAGTGAGATTTTGTGGATTGTTTTATCAGGATTCATTGGGATTGAATCACTTGCCTCAGACAAGCCAAAAGTACCAATATATTTGTAGAGATAGGTACTAGAAACCACTTCCCATCTATTGATAATGGAGATGCTAGCAAACTGAACAATACAAATTTGAATTAGGAGCAACACAGAAAGAACCCTGACGCTATGCACTGGAATATGCATTTAATAATAAAGCAGTCTTATAATAAATCATGGCTAACACCATAAAATTTTTGAAATCTTCTTTTGTTTTTCCTTTTTTTTTCTTTTTGGAAAAACATAACTGCAGAAATTTTAATAATCCCCAATCATGCATGATTGTGTGAAGTACATGCCATTTTATTGGCATAACTAAACTAAGTAAAAGGGAAACAAAATTTTTATTTAGGATAACTGTAGACAGGAAAGTTTTAAATGAAGACAGCATAATTGTAGGCAGGAAACCAAAGTACATGCCACGTTTGTCCAGGAAAAGTTTTTTCAATTTCCCAAGCTAATCTCTGAAATTTACAACTAGTTGAACCCTAGTTCATTTTATAAACTTCAAAATTGAAGTTGTAGCAGACATTAAGGAAGACACATGCCTTTTTTAAATCGAACCTTTTTCCTGAATAGAGTAGAATGGCTCAACTTGTGATATGACTATCTTAAATTTGGGTTATACTGGATTCAGTTATTAGAGTTCATAGTTGCTTAAGCTTGTAGTTGATGGTAGCTTACTCTTCACTGTTGTTCCAATTTAAACTTGATGGTTCCAACCACTTGAACTGAGGTAGTCAAGAAATTGAACAAGCAGCAGTCTATCATGGTTTGTAAGGCCAGTACGCTTAGAAGTGTTAAATTCATGAAACTTAAGAAGCAAACGTACATAAGACATTGCAGAATCGCTTACGTGTCATGTCTCTGCTGAACCCAAACTTCCATCCAAGGTGACACTTGATTTTCTGAGTAGATAAGATCATGAGGCAGATTATCAAGCACCTACAAGTTAAGCCATTGATTTAGAATTTAAAATTAAAAACTGAGTGCTACACCAAAGGAAAAGCATTTTCCATGTGAATATTTTGGACATAGACATAACTTCCACATTGATTCACCATATAACTTCCACATTGATTCACCATACAATTTTTTATTGCCCGACAAAGTTAGATAAGACATTTTGAGAGAAATAAAAATTGAAAATCAAGGAACCAACAACCGTCCCAATACCTCTAACATGATGACCCAACAAGGTTGCTGCTCAACACCTGCACCAAAAACATAATTTCTGATTTAATATCGATCAAGAAAAACACTTATACTCAAAACTGTCTAGTGTAAGTTCACGAATTTGACAAGAACAAACACTTGTTGTAAATGAAGTAAAAAATACAGATGCAACAGACATTAGTAAAGACCAAGAGAAAGACCATCATCATACCCCATCCATTTGGATCAGAAGCATCACGGCATTCTACCCTAAACTTTGCTGAGTGGCTGTGTACTTCTCCAACAGTTTCCAGTTGTATTTTAGAAAGTGAAGAACTAATTTCCACTGAACTGAAATGTATTAGAACACAATTTATCATCTTCTGCAGGTGTCTTGATTTATTAAGAAGACAAGATATTTACAACATCAAAAAGACAGCTAAGAGTGGTGCAGTGAAAAACGAAATGCATTGAGACAACATACGTGTAAGTCATATTATCATAAACTCTTGTGGGTGCATTCAGTTTTATATAATCCATCACACCCTTTGCACAAGTCCCTGATCCACCTCCAATCTCATATATCTGGAAAAGAAAGTGAAAAAATATTCATCAAGGACATACAAGATTGATTTTACAAGAAAGACTATTATTTAGAATATTCCAGACAAAAAGCAAACTGTAAATGAGAGTAGTACTGGAATCTTACCACAATTATCAGAAAACCAAAAACTCTATGTTCAAGTTAGTAAATGCAGTTTCAAAATTCATTTACCCACTCAACCATCATATCCAAGTGTGGGTCGTGTATTAATATGTTATGGAGTCGGGTAAAATCAAAGGTCTATATTAGAAAATGGAGAAGTACAGTACTCACTTAGGATAATTATTATTTTATTCTTTATTATTTCTCTTATTATTATATTTACTGTTTAATTGTTGATTATGAGTCTTGGGACTTTGCCCATAGGTCATGTTAGATGGGGGCAGTCATTATTTTGGTTTTGATTACAAAGCGAATTGGTTTCCTCTGTAGCACTCTATTTCTATTGATTCGAATAAATTCTCTCTTCGATAACCCTAAGTCATAACAATTGGTCCGACCTGCCGGATCCTCTGCTGATAGATTCATGCCCATCTAATGCCCATCTCCAATCAACAACAATTCGAGCTATTAGAAGCAACCGTTGAAGTAATACAGGAGGAGGTAAACCAGATCCGCCAGGATCTTTTCGCCAAGCTTGAGACTTTGGGAGAACAAAACATGAATCAAATAGTTTCGCTGTGGCAGGAGTTGCTCGCATGAATCAAGGCAGCGCTCGGCAGCGTCAGCACTGCCGCTGACGCCACTGCATCAATGGGTCAGCCACCGACTCAATTCACTGTGCCCTCAGCTTTGCCGCCCATGGCGCAGCATCCGCTAGCGCTGGATTCTCAACCGTTAAGGGGGGAAACCCCACCAAGGTAGCTTCGCCACCCCGCTCCTCTCAGAAGTCAGACTACCACCGTTTAACAGGACAGAGCCTATTGATTGGGTTGCTCGCACCGAGCAACAGTTTGAACTCCACCAGATGCGAACAAAACTCAAGTCAGCATTAGCGTACATCGCCATGGAGGGTACAGCACTGCACAGGTCTCGAAGGCAACATTTTCGCCACCCAATCACCACTTGGGCGGAGTTTTTCCGAGCCCTAATACATCGTTTTGATGATCGTTACGTAAGGAGCTCTTACGAGCGCCTTGCCACACTTCGGCAAAAAAAGGGAGTTGATCAGCATATCAACGAGTTCATCCAAGTGGCGACATAGGTGCCAGGCTTAACGGATGAGCATTACCTCGGATACTTCATAGGAGGATTGCAACAAAACATCCGCAATCATCTGAGGACACTAGACCCCAAAGATTTGGACTCAGCTATCCAAATCAGCCATAGCATTGAGTGGGAATTCAATGTTGGTTCTACCACGACATATCAACAGCCTGGACACCGCCTGATCAATTTGCGAGTTCGCGCCTTAGCAGTGGAGCGCAGATTGGACCTCCGGTAGGTCCCTATAGTCTTGGGAATGGCATCGAGAGCAGTAGACTCGGCACGGACAGCAGCTCCACTGGCAGACGCCCGGTGGCTTCAGACCAGTCCTCCGTGCGAGCTCCCTTTCGAAAATTAAGTCTCGCAAATTTCAATCTAAGCGACTTTGTTACCGCTGTAAAGAGCCTTATACACCATTGCATAAGTGTGCAAACAAGTCCCTTCGAACTTGTGTGGTGAATCCAGAAACAAATTGGGTGGCCGAGCTTAAAAAGATAGGACAAGGTCGAAGGGTGGACAGAAAGTGAGGTCAGATCCACGAAGCTCGAGCAGATGGAGGTAAAGGCGACAAGCTCTTCCTTAGGTTTTGATACATTGGCGCGGACTAATGTACAAGGATTCGACTTGGGTTGACTAAGAGGAATTGCACTTCCAGTTTCCTGTCTTCCACCTTGAGGACAAGGCAGTTTTCAAGAGGGATGGAGTTGTTATGAGTCGGATAAAGTCAAGGTCTATATTATAAGAGGAAGAAGCACCGTACTCACTTAGGATAATTATTATTTTATTCTTTATTATTTCTCTTATTATTTTATTTACTGTTTACTTGTTGATTATGAGTTTTGGGTTTGGCCCATAAGTCCGCCTATATATAGAGCGCATTTAGGTCATGTTAGGTGGGGCAGTCATTATTTTGGTTTTGGTTACAAAGCGAATTGGTTTTCCTCTATAGTACTCTATATCCATTGATTCGAATAAATTCTCTATTCGATAACCCTAAGTCATAACATAATATGCACGAGAAATTAGGTGTTGTAAAGCATTTTAAAAAGAGAGTATAGTGAATGGGAAAATAAAGAATAATAACTTTCTGTAAACAAAAGCTAACACTTAATGCATAAAATATCAAGTTGACTAGTATTACTGGATAGGTATCCAGGGAAAAAGAATGATGCTTTTCCAAAATCATAACTTCTGTAAAATCACTGTTTCCACTTCTGAGTACATGAGGACCTTACAACTGGGCAAACTATGATGAATGATCCATCAGAGAACATTAAAGGCTATGAGCACTCTAAGTGATCAGATTGCAATAACTAGGCCTGACTATCAATATCAGACATTGAAAGAGCAGATTTTAATCCAATTTATTAAACTCATTTAACACACTTACCCACAATTTTGGATTAGCACTGAAATAAGCAACTAAATAGCAACATAAGTCTATCAACAAATGTGAAAACATGAGGTGGCAAGCTCTTCTAGTCATGATTAAATGTGGTAACAAAGTGATACAAAACTCTAAACGAAAACAAATACTGCAAAACCAAAGAAAATTTATAAGATTATTTTTCCTCATGTTGAATACATCCAGATCTATACACATGTGAAATATTCTATCCAAAGAAGGCTGTTTGCTCGTCGTGATTTATGGATACAGATATACCTAAACTTGATCAATCAGTAATAGTAAGAATTGAAACACGCATACAATAAATAATAATAGTTCAAAACCAAAAACTCAAAAACTTACTTTAAGTGGAATGGAGAGGTTAGCCGTGCGTAAAATAGCCTCAGCTATTCCATGGGCGTACCAAGGCTACAATAGTAATGAATAGATAAATTGAGTGATAAAACAAAATAAAGACTAACAAAAGAGAGACAAGTAAACAAGAGAAGAAACTTATTATCTTTTGTCCGGGTATTCTGTAGGTGGAGAATAGGTGTGATGAAACAGTAAATATATACAAATAAGGCTATGACAAAGTGAACCATAGACTCACTGCAAGTGGTATATGATGCATTGCAGATAGAAGGAAATTTAAGTAAGGAAAAATCATATGCAACATAAACTTCAGCTCTATGGAAGTGAAACCAAATTATAGTAAAACATATATATAAATATATATACACGCAAACACTCACACTCACACACACATATATATATATACATAGAATATATTGTTCCCCTGGATAGCTCTAGTGCTAGAATCCACAAACTAAAGAAAAGTGTGTTGTGCAATGGAAATCAGAAAATTAGAATGATCCCACATCCAAAACCCTCTTCTTTTGTTATTCCAATTTACTTAATAGATCCAAAAATTATGGGTGTGTTCTTTTGGCTTATTTTACTTTATTTCTACTACTTACAAATTTTTCCCCTCCCACAACCATCAAATCAAATACCTACTTGTTACTTTTTGTATTACACTAAAAATCAATTCTGCATTCAAACCACCCATCCATCCGTTCTTATTTATATTACATCAAACAACTATTGAAACTCAAAATTTTACTATTCAAATCAAAACCCCAAACAAACACAGCCTTTATTTCCAAAGCCATACCATTTATGAAATGAGGAAATTAACGGAGGAATTGAATATAAATACATATATAATATCAATTTTTTTAAATTGTGGTCTGTGATGCTCATTCAACACAGTGTGGGATGTCTCATGTTTTTGCAAGGCCTTCTTATGAATCACACTCCCAGAATGCAAGCAATTATCTTGCAGGAACTAAATAGTAAATGTAAAATGGCATCTATTTTAATGTTTTAGCAAAGGCAGTTGTTAAGCAATAATCATTTCAAATCCTAATTTCCATACCAAACATGCAGCAAATTTGGTTCCACTGCATAACTATTCATCAAAATATTGCATGTAGATGCTTAGTAACTATTATATATCAAGCTTTTAAAGATATACCTTAAAAAGCTCAACTGGAGTAAACCATGAACTATCACTCTGCTTATAGATAGCATCCAAGTGCTTCATGTAAGCTTTCCTACCTGATCGATTGAATAAAGTAATAAGTTTAATTACACATATTCAAACAAACTTTGTGGCAAGGTGAATCATGAGGCTTTGTACTGTTTCTGAGATCCTGCATATCAAAGTGAAATTAAAACACAAGTCTTTAACTTCTACATCATTCTTCTCCTCCCATCTAAATCCCCATGCAAGAAAAATACGTTTCGAATGATCAAACATTCACCAGTGACCAGTTTGACACTAAACTAAAGTGAACGTACGTCAAAGCAGCCAATACAACTCGAAAGAACACTTTCATAATCAGGAAAGATAGGTAAGCAAAAGTTTCAAAGCAGTTACTTCTATAAGGGTGTGTGTATGGTATAGGGAAATGGGAGTAGAGAATTGGAGTGTTTGTTTGAGTCAAGGAATTCAAATTTGAAGACTGGATAATTTTTCATTTCTCCTACATCCAGAAAAAATTAAAGATAAATAAAAATTAAGTGGGTGTTTTTTTGTCAATTTACTTTTTCATGTTTTGTACTATTTAACTCTCACAATTTCCTTCATATATATCCTATTTCAATTTCATAAAACATTGCATTCAAATTATTATTCAAATAAAAATCAAAACAAAATCACAAATCAAACACACCAATATTTCTTCATGGATTCCCATTTCACAGAAATATTCTTTTACCCTATCTCCTCCTGAATGTTTTTACATTTCTGAATTAAATTCTCTGTTTCACTAAAAAAATCAACTCACATTCTATGTTAGAATTTTTTTCCTACAATTCTCTTCTCCCGTTTCTCTTCAATTCCATTCTTTATATCCTTTGGACCAAAAGCATCCTAAGATTTAAGTTAGGTCATCGAATGGAGTGACTCCAGGACACCCAACAAAACACACCCGTATATAGCCCCATATCGGTCAAAGAATTATACCTGAATCTAATAGTGCATGAAATATTAAAAATTAAGAAACAATAACAAAATGACAGCACAGCTTTGATTCATCAAAGAACCAAACAACCTTCAAGCTGATGGAACTTAATGCTTCTATCAAGAACTCCAACTGAGCCCGATCTTTGAGAAAAATAACCATGCTCTGGATGATACAGAGCCGCATGAATAAAATCTCTTACCTTAAACAAACAAAATCAACAAGTTAAAATTTAAAAATAATAATAATAAAACTTCCGTCAATTCCAACAGAAAAATCCCATCTTCAGTACAATATCACAGCCTCATGCGTACAATACAGTGACATATACAGCTAGAGAGAGAAAGAGAGATTACTAGCACTGGTGATTCCCCGAGAATGTTTGTACAATAATTAGCTGGAGAAAATGGGATCACTGGAAAATTTAATTCATTGGAGTTAGATTATAATTGAAAAAAAAAACAAATACAATCGAATTCAAGCCGCGCAAAGAAGAAACGTAGATAGCCAAACCACCTTTGGGAGATGAGAGGAAAGCAGAAAGGCGCTTGGGGGAGGCAGCTCGAGCGGCCATTGTTGCAGAGCTGGAGCCTGATTTCTGCCTGCTCCGCTCCCTATTTCGTCGTTAAATCTCAGCAGGGTTTATTAGCTGATTGAAAATTAATTGACTTGACATAAACCCGACTTCACGCTATCTTTGTAAACCAGAACACGATTTCATAGAGTTGCTAGATGTCAGCGCACCAAATTAATTATCTTCCGTAAAATTGTTCATAACTTATACTCACTCCTTCCCATGATAGTCTTATTTATTATTTTGTCCGTTTCAAAACAACAGTCTCATTTTCATAAATAATCATATCACCATAAAATCATTCCTACTTTTTTATTATTATTACACAATTACCACTATTTTTTACACTAATATACTCACAACGGCAAAAAAGTCATGTATCCTTACTTTTTACCAACTACCAATATAATATCAATATTTCTTGAATCTCGTATCCAATATAATAAGATTATACTTTTGGGATAGAGGGAGTATATGGTTTTAAAATTCTCTTATATTTCAAATATGTTCCACCCCATGAAACTGTTGTGTGATGGGAAGATAATTTTTTATCTATATAAATATATTTTATATGACGAGGAGTTTCATGCAATATTTTTTTTAAAGTATAACGGGGCGTTATTTAAGTAAATTGAAGATTTATCTCAAGTTTCGAAACTACATACGATTTCATACTATATTTTTTAAAGTATAAAGAGTTCTATGCAATTTTAAAGTAAAGAAATGATTCAGTAAAGGGAGTGATTGGACAATTTTGTCAATACTTTCATCATCTGGATAGGGTGTACGATTTACTACTGTAGAACTACCTTAGACCGGCAAATTGAGGATAAATACAACAGACACATATTTAAAAGAAATATAATTAATAAATAACTAATAATGTACTAGTTAAAAATAATTATTATTTAATAAAAAATTAAATTAAAATTAAGACAATTGATTAATATAATTAAAATATACTATTATAAAATGGAATTATAGTAAACACAATAAGTAAGTAAGTGGGACTGAAGGTATAAAATAATACTACAAATAATACTTAGAAATGACTTGCCCATTTGATTAGAACCGCTTTTTAGTCTACCATTACGGTTTCAACCGAAACTGATTCGAATTGAACCGAAACCGTCGTTCTGACGATTCGATTTCGGATTTGTGTTTTTGCCAAACTACGAACCACTGATTCAAACAGCTGACGATTTAGCCATTTTATATGTGTATTTTTTTAATTTAAAATAATTTAAAATTCTACTCACGTTGCTGGTCTAGCAGTCATCATGTCACACATGATGAGTAGGGTACAAGAAGAAAGAGAAAAGAAAAAGGCAAAGAAGAAAATGGCTGAAATCCGTCGGATTTCCGTCAATTATCTCAAGCCAACATCAACAACTAGCAAACACCTGCGGCGTCCCTCCAGCGTTCCTCCTGGCAGCCTGCTCCGGCCATCGATGGACGGCTCCGACAGATTCTCAGACGGATCAACGGCGGAAGGGGGCAAGGCGTGGCTGGACAGCGGCGGCGACGAGCAGCGGGTCCCTCCAGTCATCTTCTCCGGCAGCACGCAACCAGCGGCGACTCCTCTCAACGAACAGCTTCAGATTCTGTCGATCCGCACCGAAACAGCCGTAGGCATGCCGATCACCTTCTTCAGAAAATATCTATATGCAATAAAAATAATATATTTATAATTTAAATTATATATTACTCCTTTTAGGAACATGATATTGTAAGTAACGTAGATTAATAAGTTACGATATTATTTTATTATTTTTTATATGAATAATATTATTGATATTTTAATTATTTTTAGTATTATATCAAATAAAAGATATCAAATATTTGTTTTTATAGAAATAAAGGGTACATGTAAGGTGTTAAAAATTTAAAATAAATAAATATCTAAAAATATTTAAAATATAAATAATACTATTCATATAAAAATAATAAAATAATATTATAATTTATTATTAATAATTTAATAATCTAGACTACTTAACGAGTAATATAATACTATGTTAGTGCATACTGGGTAAACCTTCGGCCAAACCTAATACCCTGCAAACTAGGCCCGACAGGCAAGTCACACTAGGTGAACTATATGTGGCAGGTGACATGAGGCGTCGGAGGTTTGAACCCATGACCCCAGGCCGTCCCTTATGGGACAACAAAAATTTTCTTATTTGATTGTATTATATAAAAGTAATGACATTTATGTAATATGTCGGAAGTTGTAATGATATTATTTATTTTAGGTAGATAGTACAATTACTAAATTATGAAATGATACTTTTGTTTTGAGAATGACAAAAATAGAAAATGATATCCTTCTTATAAGAGGGATCGACGGAGAGAGTGTTATTTTTACAGACAATTGGGTTTAAATATCTGCCTCTATTTTTAAGTTTAAGTTTAGTCTCTATCCATGAACGCTGCACTCTCCATTTTATTAAAAATTTTGCGATTAACTCTATATCTTTTTATTCTTTTCAATATTACCCTTGTCTAAAAATAAAATCAATTTTGTTATGCAATTTCTTGTGTGTTCGGTCTTTTTGCTTGAGATTAATGAGAAGACGATCTGAATCCAAATCCCAAGTGCGAGAGAGAAACGGGTAAAGCGACGAATGTTCGATTCTAGATTGCGATGTTTTCTTGGTGTGATAATTTTGCGCATTGATTACAATGGTGTTATCAGGAGGTTCGCAGAAGAGGATTATTCTTTGCCAAATCCGATTCCGTTCTCGTTCTGTTGAAGATGAAGACTGGAAATGAGGTATGATTGATCATCTTTACAATTATTTGATATTATAAGTATATGTATTCTTGAAAATAATTTTTGTGATCGATCAATGTTCTTGTTTGATTGTTCGAGTTTTTTTGTTTGTTTGTTTTTAAGTGTAGACAAAATAGTGAGATTTTTCAGAAATAAAATATTATGATAGAATGGTATGCATATGAAAAAACTTTATGGAGGTTGTTGCGATTTCAGGCTAGTTTGCGTGTGTATTTTCACGGGAAACTTTTTTCTGGTGTAGTATACTTATATTTATTAACTATATACTCATGTTATCTAATATTGTATGGTGTATTTGTTTGAAAATACTTTTGTTTTGTTGATATTACTATGACTACTGATCTATGAACCTTGATATTAATTTCATTTGCTTATATATTAGATAATATTAAAATCTTATTGCTTTCCAGCAGTGTCCGTCGAAAATGATAAAATTTTGAGAATAATTTTATTAGAGGTTAAGGTATGTTCTTTACGTTGATGGTCAATATAATTGGAAATAATACATTTTTTTATAGACACTTGGGATTTTTAAAGTTCATCCCTACAATATCTCCCAAAATCCACCGTGCATATTATCTTTGATACCTAGTGGACAACTTTCGCACTCAGGTATGTGTAGAATATATGTCATTAATTATAATATGTAAAAAAAGGTAATTATATTTCGTATAGGTAATGCAAAGATATCCGATGTACAACAAGAAATGATAGACTTCCCTTTTCAACAAAGTCGGTTATTCTCCCTTACGGAAGAATTTTGAGCAACATATAATGTATGTTGCGAAGGCCATGCCATTTTGCCCAAAACTTCATTGCACAATCGCAGCCCAGTGTTGGCCGAATTCTCTATTCGAAGGAATTCGTTGAAGGATAATAAAAAATAATATAGTCAAGTCGTGGAATAATTAGATGCGCTCAGTAAGGTCATTGTCTTTTGTCCAACCAGACCAACAAAAAAAAAAAAAAAAAAACGGGTTGAATCACATAAGGTGAACTAGTTTTAAAAATATGATCGTTGTGATCGTCTAAGACATAACCGACAAAGTTACAAAAATGTTCTTTCATAGGTATTTCTGGTTTGTCGTCTTGTGGCCAAAATTCTTTTATTTCTGGAATATTGTACATTGAACGTAAATATGTGTACAAAACCATTGTTGAATGATTTGAAAATTATATTATATTCCCTTGTATATCATTGAGACTATTATGTCGGGGTATGTATCATTTCAAACTAATTATTTTAAAATACAAAGGTACGTGAATTCACTTAATTTGTCATTTTCTTTTTTAGAAATATAATTATACACTTTAATCATATTTTAAAATTCATAATTTTTTTTATTTTAATTAAACTATTTAGTCATCTTAATTTTAATTTATAATTATTTTTATTAAATCATAATTATTTTCACTAGTATAATTCTTAATTATTTATTAATTACATAATACCTAAAATAATTACTTATTAATTATATCATACCTAGAATTCCGCGCCTAAGCTAAATATGACAACAATTTAGCTGGGACAAAGGAGTATTAAATATAAACTTAAAAATTATGACTTTCAATCTTTTATTTCCAACATGATTTCCAATATATATATTTTATCTTCTTACAAAAAATCAACGTTTAACATAAAATATTATTTTTTATATTAACATATTTCTTTATCCCTCCATCAAAAATAAAATTTAAAACAAAGCTCTAACCAAACAAAGCCTGTATCACAAGGCTTCCTCAATCCCATCCAACATCCATACCCAAATGATAAAGAGGGTGTTTGTGAAAAAGGTTTGTGAAAGAGGTTTTTAGCTGTTTGACAAGTTAAAAAATTAATTTAATACAGGCTTCCTCAATCCCATCCAACATCCATACCCAAATGATAAAGAAGGTGTTTGTGAAAGAGGCTTTTAGCTGTTTGACAAGTTAAAAAGTTAATTTTGAAAGAGTTTTTTTAATCCAAAAGAGCTAATCTACCCACCGTTTTGGAAGAGATTTTTCATTTTAATTTTGAAAGAGCTAATTTTTGAAAAGTTAATTACCCTTAAAACTTAATTATTTATTTTATATATATAAATATATTTTTATAGCAGTATTTATTAATCATATTTAATATATTTAATTTATTAAATTATATTTTTATTTTTTTAATTTAAAATAATAATTATTATTAATTATTATATATAAATCTTTAAAACTAAATCAAATAAAAAACACAAAGGTTATTAATTTATTTATATATATTAAAACAATAATTAATATAATAAAATATATATACGAAAGATTTATTATTTTATATTTTACATAATTTTAATAAAAAATTATTATTGTTTTTTAATAAAAATAATTTTCAATAATTAATAATAAAAATTCTCATAAATTTCAAACTAAAATGAACAAAATTAAATATTTTAAAATATAATATATCATTTTAGGTATAAAAAGCTAATTTCAAACAAAACATTTGAATACAAACCGCTAATTGAATCATCTAGTCAAATGAATTAAATCAGCTAACTGCTAACATCTAATTGAATCAATTAACATCTAAAAGTTATCAGCTAATTGTCAAACGTACCCAAAAATTTTCTAACACTCAATAAAACATTACTCTAATACAACAATAACGAGGACGACGACGACGACGACGACAACAACAACAACAACAACAACAATAATAATAATAATAATAATAATAATAATACTAAGATTTTTCAAATATAAAAAAATCGATAATATAAAATTAATACTCCCTTCATCCCACAGGAAGGTTGTCATGACCTTTTTGCATGTTGATATTTGAATATTAATTATTATATCAATACGCCGTAGAAATCAAGAAAAAAAAGTAAAAATATGTTTATTAGTTTCTTATAATACAAATATAATGATATTTTTCGAGTAAATTATTCAAATATAAGGATCTTTTTAATATTAAATACAATGACGCAAAAACCAATGGCAACCTTCTTGCGGGACGGAGGGAGTATTTTAAATTGCATATTGACTTTTTATAAAAAAAAAAAAAAATGAATATATATACACCCTATTTTAAAAAATAATATATTAATAGTAATAAATAATTAATAATAATGTAAGAACACTTTTTTTTATATAAAAATAATAATTTGATAATAAAATAAAAAAAAAAATTATAAGAAAATAAAAATAAATTATTTTGAAGCTAAAAACAGAAATGTACATACTCTTTGTATAGAGGAAGTATTATATATATTGAAAATAGTACAAATCTTATGTAATATTTTTCGAATTTTGGTGTTTGAATTCTATTTTTTAAAAAAAAATATCCTATCAAACATTATTTTAATACGAAATCTAACAAATTTTTACAAACTCACTCAAAAGCGACGCAACCTTAATTTCTTAAAAAATGATAGCCATTTAATCCAATTATAATTCAATTTTATTCATTAAAAAGAAAAAAACAAAAACAAAAACAAAAAGACAAGCACATATCAACAATTCTACAATAAATTCTTTTTGTCCGCTATATTATTCTCATTTTATTTTTTAGTTCTATCTGCTTAATTTTGGCAAAATTAACAAATAATATTTTATTATTATCCTTCATTCAACACTTATTTACAACAAATATCATTAATTTTATTACATTCTTATCATTTTTCTAATAATAAAATATTTATTTTTCTTAAATGATGCGCCGACCTAATATTTTTACTGGAGGGTGGGAGTACAAGTAAAAACTCGAACGACCCTTTTGGGTAAACAAAGTAAAAAAAACACAGGTAAAAAAACATTACTACAATTTTTACATATCATGAGATAAAATCTTGATTTCCATCTGTCAATAGAGCTGTCTCAAAGTCATGGAAAAGTAAAAGAACACATACATAACCTTGAATAGCATCATACCAGAGGCAATTCTCGATCGTCGATCTGTTGGTTAACCCGGGCCGACTTTGGGGATGTCGTAGTGCTCGCTCATGTTGGCGAGATACTGGTTGAAGTCTTGAATACGGTCACGGTGCGATTTGTTTGATGTCTTAGCAAGCTTGTGCGAATCTATTCTCTCTCTTTGTTCGATGTAACGTCTCTCGGCTGGAGTCAGGTGGTCGTCCCAATTGGTCGAACTCCCATCTTCAGTAGATGGTTTTTCTGCATCGGCTATCCCTGTCTCGTTGGAATCAGTCACCAGCTCCGTATTCTCATCTGTATACAATTAAGCGATTAAAAAGGGGAGGGGAGGAAGATTGAAATGGAAAGGAGACGAACATTTGTTGGCAAATCATCAAACTATCGTAAAACATTAGGGCATTATAATAAAATCCCAGAAAGCCTGTCCAGAACACAATGTGAAATTAGCACAGCATGGCAATTTAATAGTGAAGCATTCGTCCTATAAAAGTTACAAAATTTGATTAGTATAAAAGAAATGCATAGAATAAAGAATAGCATAGGCGAATAACATATTGTATTTGCAGAGAGTAGATACTTGACTAATTGGATCGTTTCTTTGTGGATACCTATAGAAAGCTTTTGGGGATGTGTCTCCGAGTATTCCTTGATCATTTCGTCCAATATAAGAATTTCCTCTAATTCTATGAACTTTCCTAAAATACTTTTTTTATTGAATATCATTCAAAAAATATTCGGATTGACCAGTATTCAACCAATTAGTAACCCAAAAACCCAATAAAATATACTGTTTTCTCTCACTAAACATTACATCAAATTACTATTTAAACCAAATCTTCAAAAACTCAATTTCAAACCAAAACTAAAAAAAATCTAAATTGAAGAAAACTCACTTTCAACAGCCTGAGAAATTTGTTCATATTGCTTCTTTTGCTTCTTTTTTTTCTTCATCCCTCCAGCCTTGACATCTAGAGCCTTTCCCTTCAGCTTCAACTTCCCCCCGACAACATTTTCATATGCAGACATTTTTTTTTCTGTCGAGAATAAGTGTAATGTCAAAAAACTTTCAAACAAGAGAAAAAAAGAAAAGAAAAGAAAAGCATTCGAATTCAAGTGCACAATCCTATTCCTTAATGCATTTTCAATCTATCGCCTCCAATGGTGGACAAAAAATCAGGAGCAAATTTGGCTAATCTTAACACAACATTGCAGGGGTCAAATTGTGAATAGAGTAACACAGGCTGACAAATGCTCGATTGATCAAAGATGTGAATAGAAACCAAAGGCTCTATCAGAATCTAAAACAACTATTTAGAAAGCCTGAATATTTGCTGCCATTATTCCAAAACCAAAAGCATGTTCAAGCAATTTGAACAACAAATATCATTATACTCATACAAATACTCGATTTCGTGGTGTGCAGCACCGTTTACGAATATGGTGATCATAATAAAAGAATATGGCCCCAAATACAAGGAAGACAACATTAGCACTGTCAACATAGGGAACATGAACAGAAAAGAGTACTACAATGCATCAATTTATAGAAATAGCTCAACTTTCGATCTAAGATCAATCAGACGTGCAAGAAGATACCAAAAAAACGAAATCCAGAAACCAATGTGTTGCTTTCCTCAATCTCTACCACAATCAGCATACTTCAAGATGACGAATTAAATTCCGGCGTAACTATTCGATTTAGGGGTGAAATTAGGGTTTATGAGGAAATCATAGACCAATTTCCTAAAAATCAAATCGGAAATACCGACTCTACATCTTCCAAACGCATCCATTACGTCGGGTACAATTGACAACAATCGAAATCCAATTCACCTACAAAAACATAAGAGTACAAAATGCAAATTGAAAATTCCAAAGCACTGGAGAAGAGCGCTGACCTTTCCGATCAGCCGAGAGAACCACACAGAGGTACGGATCAGCGAATCAACGACGGCGGCGATGAAATTCGCGATTAGGGCTTAGCTGAAACCGAATCGGCGGTACGACTGTCCCATCGGCGAATACATATATGAAGACTTGTCCGTAAGGTTCCAAACCGCCGGTTCGCCAGTATCGAGCATCGGTTACGGTTCAAAGACAAACCGGACTTAAACCGAACCGAAACGTTTTTGTCTTTCCCAAACCGCGAACCGCCGGTTCCAACTTGTTCTTGTTCTCACTTCACCGGTCTAATAGTCACCAAGGCGCAGCTGAGAATGCAGGGTGGAAGGAGGAGGAGGAAGAAAATAAGGATGTGTTTTTGACTCACTCACACAAAAATTGGTTTGAGTTTGATATTAAAATAACGTTTGATATGATATTTTACGAGAGAAAAAAATATATTTTCTCCATCCCAATACAATAGTCTTGTTTATCATTTTTGTCAGTTCAAAAATAATAGTTTCATTTTCATAAATAATCATATCATCGTAAAACTATCTCTATTTTTTCATTATTGTTACATAACTACCACTACTTTTTACACTAATGTACAGGGCAAAAAATAATTTATCCTTACTTTTTACCGACTACCAATATAATATCAATATTTTTTAAATATGTCCAACACAATAAGACTATATCTTTTAGAGGAATAGAGTATTTTTTTTGGAAAAACACATCGTTAAAATAGTAAAATTTGATTTAATTGGATTAATCAAACATACCATAAATAAATATATTCTCATAAAAAAATATTTATATTATCACAATCTAAATCCAAAAAGTCAGCTCAAAAGATGAGCAGCGGCAGCAGCCCAATACATCCTATCTAACACATCAACAACAAATTCAATTCTCTTCTCTACGCTCTTTATTTTTGCATTATTTTTCTTTTTCTTTTTTTTTAAACCTTAATTGTCCGATTTAATTCAATTTAATTTAAGTTCTTTCTTAATTATTTTTTTGTCCTTTTACGAATTTTCTTCGTCTTCTTCATACTTCAGCAACGCAACGTCTATATTTTTTTTTTCCATCGATTTATTTTGATCGCGAGACTTAGCCCGAATACTTTCTTGAATAAGCCAGGAATCTAATTCTTTATCGATTTCGACATGCTTAATTTTATTAGGCCATTATCGACGAATTTCAACAACAACAATATATAAATAATATATTTATAACTTAAATTATGGTATAAAAACAAAATTAATATTAATATCAATAAAGAAAAATAATTATTAATGATAAAAAATAATATTATTTACTTTTTGTGTGTTGATCTTTGAATATTAATTATTATATCAAAATATAATACAAATTAAGAAAAAATTACAAACATACTTCAATTAGTGTCTTATAATACTAATAGAAGGATATTTATAAAAAATATATATATATATATAAATATAAGAATATCTTTAATGTTAATTATAATGACACAAAAACTAAATGTCATCCTTAGAGGCAGACGGAGGAGTATCATCTAATATCATAATATATAGATATTTTCATAATTTATTTTAATTTAAAATTTTATTTAATTACTTAATAATTTATTATTCTAATTATTTATATATGCTAACAATCTAATTAATTATTATTTACATAATAAATATACATAATAAAATCAAAATCAAAATAAATTATTTTTCAGTAAAATTTAAATTTAGAAAAACTAGAAAATAAAAAAAAAATTATTAAAAATGAATATATATATATGTATAAACCGGAAATTCAAACCGAAATCAGCGACCGGAACTGTCGATTTGAAACCTATAATTGAAATCGTCAAATCGGAATTGAAACCCTTGTTCGAAAGGTTTGATTTCGGTTTGATATTTTGACAAATCGAAACCGACGGTTTGAACAGTTTGGACAAGTCTACATTTATGCCCTTTTTTTTATATATATATATTTGTCTTCATACAATTTTCAATCTATAATTCTATTTTTACATGAATCATATGTGATATTTCTCTATTATTGCATGATTGTTACGCTAACTCACTTTTAACCGTAATTTCTATTCTTTTTATAAGGTCATATATTTTTTATATCCTATTTTACATACTATTTTTTACTTTGTCCATCTCAACTAAAAAAATATAATTTATAATAAATTTAAACTAAAATGTGAATACAAATTTTATAAATAAAATAAAATGCACCTTCCCATCAGAGATGGTGAAATCTCTTAAATTGCAAGGTCAGTTGGAGATCAATTTTGCCTCATTTTTCTTTTAATTTGGAGGAATGCATTTCTAGTTCGAGATGGTCTTACGGGATCGGATCTTCAATCTAATCTTTTCTCATTCTACTCTTTTAACAAATAGGAGTTATATGTATTGTTTACTAAATTTTTTTCTCTTCATTTTAAATCATAAATCATACTCATTTGCAAATAAGTCCTCTTATGATTCTCGTTCCCTCCCCTCGTGTGAACTCATGCTCAAATCCTTCTCTAAATTTGTCCGTTTGCTGCTAATGTTACCGCCAACGCGCTCAAGAGCAAGTTCGGTACAGTTTCCTATCCCTTTGTAAAATTTTCCGCGATCAAATTTTCCCTCAAAATTTCGCTTGATCGAGCGCCCCAACCACCATTGTTACCGCCAATGCGCTCACCCAGCATATTCAGTTTCTATTCAAGATGTTTCTCATTTTTTTATTGGTTGAAATATTATCTTTAATTTTTCAGCCAATATTACGACTTCAGCCCCCCCCAAATTCCGCCACCACTGATACGCTCACCCAGCAAGTCCGAGTTCTACCAAAAAAATATTTTATGTTCTTTTACTGTTCAAATCCTAATTTTACAACTCATCGCATATTAGGCTAGCTCCTGTATTGGGTTCAATTCCGTTCGTTCTACTCTTTTGTAGCCAATACTCTTGTATTGGGTCCAAGTTCAATTGTTGAACATTTTCTAGAGTCAGTAATCGTAGGTTTAGTTCATTTGTTGTTTCATAATTTTGCATTTTTTATTCTGTTGTTTTATTGTTCCTTTTATTAGAAATGTATCTACATTAGAGGTAACGGAGATTGATGAGGAAAAAAATAAGTTTTCATGTTCACGTAGATTAGACTTTACGAATATGAAAAATAATGGTCATCACATTTCCCCTGAAAAAATACCTCAAATTGGAATGAAGTTTGACAATGAAGAAGAAGTGTATCAATTGTACTTATCTTATGCTAAGAAAATAGGTTTTGGCATGAAAAGACACAAAATACATAAAAATTGAGCAGGAAAGATAAAATGAAGAATGTATTACAGTAGTGATGAAGGTACAGGGGAGAAGATATAAAAAATATCAATATGGGAGCTCTACGTGCAATAAAAAGATTCCGGTGCAAGGTAAATATGAACATTCGGTTGAAAGAGAATGACAAATACAAAGTATTTTAGTTTATGTTTGAACACACTCGTCAGCTCACCAGTCCTAAAAAAACTCATTTTTATCCCGTCGCATAGAAGAATATATGAAGTTCATGCTGCCCAGATTGATATGGCCAAACATGTGGAACTTGCTCTAAAAATCTCACATGATTTAATGATTAAGGAAGTCGGTGGCCAAAAAGGTTTATAATTTATCAGGCAAGACATTGAAAATTATTTGCGATTTAAGAGGAATAAATACATGGAGGTTGAGAACATTTGAGGTGTGCTAGAATATTTACAAGGAATGCAAAGTAGAGACTTAAATTCTTCGTATTCCATTCAAGTGGATGAAGATGATATAATTACGAACATGCTTTGGGTTGATGGATAAATAAGAGCAGACTATATTGATTTTGGAGACGTAGTTTCTTTCAATACTACGTATAAGGAAAATAATTTCTTGGCCTTGTTTGTTGATGTTAATCACCACAACCAAACAATGGTTTTTGGTGCAGTACTTTTATACAACAAGACTATTCTCTCGTTTGAGTGGTTGCTTGACACTTTCGTCAGCACCATGTACGAAAGAAAGCTTACTACGATTGACATATCAAGATCTAACTATGGAAAATGAATTGGCTTTAAGATGGCTTGAGACTTATCACAAGCTTTATGTTAGGCATAAATAGCTCAATACATTAGGGTGTGTTTCTTTGGGGGATTCTTTCAAAAATTTACTATTCATCAATTTTTTTGTTTTCAAAAAATATCAAATCAAACAACTATATTTTATATTATACTAAAAATTAATTTTACATTCAAAATATTACATCAACACCTATTTATATCACATTATACAATTATCCCAACTCAAAAGCCAAACCCCCCAACAAACACACCCTAAATTTGTAATTTTTTATAATATAGAATAACTTTTGTAGATATTTATACCCATAAAATCATTAAATTGTGTAGGCTACGTATTTAACATATTTATCAAAATATTGTCATACCTTTGGTGGTATTTTTGTTGAACATAAAAACTTTGTGCATGATTGTGGGAGATATGTGTTTATGATTTAGATAAAAAAAAAAAAAAGCAAGTTTTTTCACGAATGGAATTAAATGCTGGTAAAGTATAATTTGGTAGAAAATGAATGGTTGAGAAGATTATTCAATTTGAAAGTAAAATAGGCATTGGTGTATGTTCCTCAATTCTTTTGTACTGATATTACGACGACATAATGCAGTGAGAGTGTTAATAGTGTAAGTAAAAACTATTCCAGTTCGAAGAACAACTTGTGGATGTTTTTTTTAAAGTTTGAAATTTGGTTGAATCTCGCCAATATGAACAATTGCAAACCGATTTCAAAGCAAGTACTAGTGTGCCTATGCTCCCATTACCAATTCAGCTCTTGAGAAAAATGTATGATTGCGTTGAAGATGTTATTAGAACATATGAAATCATTTTAGAATATCAAAATTAGCTATCTTAAGAAATCGAGAGACCATATTGTGAAATATGATTCATCAGATGAGATAACTGATTGTAGCTGCAAGAAATTTGATTTTTCTAAAATATTATGCTTTCATGGACTGAAAATTCTCATAGAGTATAATGTTTTGAAGATTTTTTTATCAATATATACTAAAGATGTGGACAAAAGATGCAAGGATGGGTGATTTGCACAGTAATATGCATGGCGGAGACCAAAGTATAGATGGTCCAAAAAATGATTTAAGTTTGTACTGTAAGATTTTAGTGTTTTATACAACAAACTGGTAACGAGAGTTTCATAAAGTAAACAATCTTATGAGTTTTCTATAGATATATTGTTGAGGTCGGTTGAAAGAGTGAACAAACAATTACAATTCCGAAAAGAGAATTATAAGGGAACATTTATGAAGAGGGTTGGTAATGCTGGTATAACATAAAAGACAACGTTCATGTAAAATGTATAAAGAATAGGCAAAGTATGTTCGGGTAAAAGACCAAAAAATGGATTAGAAAGAAACTCAAGGGAAAAAAACAAGTTCGAGGAAATAAATATTTAGCTGAGATCCAGGTGCGAAGCTGATACGGCATTGTAAACTACTTTATTTATTCAAAATATTTACGATAAATTTATTTACTATGCAGTCATTCATTAATGAAACTTATCTAACACCTCATAGCATTGCATCACAATATTATCACATTCCTCGAGAGCATATTATTTGAAAAAAAAAAAATCTCATAATTTAATTATAATAATTATGATTTAATTTTTTTATATTCATTAATTTCGTGAATTATTTTTATTTTTCTGCATTCTAGATTGCAGTAGTGAATCCATTACCAAGCATACAATCTCATTACCATAACGAGCCGACTTATTCTATGAAGTTCACAGAATTACTTAAGGTATTTTCTGCACAGTGATGTGAGTTTACATTAAAATGAATTATTTTATTACTTTTTACTTTAAATTTTTGTATTGTACATAAATTTAGGTTTAATCATCGCGTATAAGTGGTGAAAACAACAGAAATGCGCAGTTCAGTATCTTCTGAAATGTTTCGGCATTGCATTTTACGAATAAGTAACTATTCATTTGATGACGGGGACTTATTTATGGTTGCATATTTTTCATTAGTATTGTTACATTATGGACATATTTTTTTAGTAAATTGTGTGAAATTGGTTGTATCCGTTTCATTAGTACTTTATAGTATGGATTGCTTTATTTTCAAATGTTGTTGTTATTATTATTATTATTATTATTATGGATTCTTTGGGGGGATTTATTATTATAATGGTTTTGTCTGTATGTTATAGAGTTGATCATGAATTTAATTAGCTAGATTTACACTATTGATAATAGTAGATGGTATTGTTAATATATATTACTTTTTTATTTTTTTTATTTTTTTTTGAAACATAAGAAATCATAGGTAGGTATTAATTTAGGTAGATTTGAAGTATTGACAACAAATTAAATGTATGCAAGCAGACCGGCTACCAGTAATATATTAATGCATTGCTACATTTTTTTAATGTATGCAAGCAAACAAATTAATGTGTATTCAATTTTATTTAATGAAAATTTCACGCTCAAGCATCATTTTTTAGCACTATTGTCTGAAATTCCAACTTAAGTTAAACCATGGAAGGAGTAGTAAAAAAATTTCACATTCAATCTACCCCTCTAATTGTGAAATAAAATAATTGGATGCATCAAATAGCTCTACTATACAAGTCTAAGTAAAAATTCTAGGATAATGAAAAGTCTGGATGGATAATATTGACCAAACCAATTTATTTCTTCATACCATCCAATCAAGCATAACAATTTTAAAATATATTCAATTATGCAAAGAAACAATCATCTACATACACTCCCAATAACAAGACACAACATAACACCTTCGCAAATACTAATTTATAAGCATACCATAACATAACAAACAAGTTCCACCTAAGTTGAATCGAAATTAGGAACTCCCTTCGCTACATAGCATAACACATTAAATCTAACTACATACATAGAGAACTGCGATCTCTCAATTTATAAACTAAGCCAAAGACAAGCTTAAAGAAGCTACATATACACATAAGCTACATAACATTAAAACCACATTCGAACAACAATAAAAATAACCACCCACAATATTAACAATTTTCCTTGGAGCTTCACTTCCTTCTCGACACCACTAGATTCGTTCACTTTCTTCTTCATTTATTTCTTCAATTCATTCACTTCTTTCTTCGATTTATTCAATTTCTTCTCCAATTCTTTCACTTTGTTTACTAAGTTTAATATCTCTACATGATCGTTTTCCTACTTGAAATAATTACAATCATCTTGTGTACCTCAATTCGGACATCCGAAAATTTTTCTCCCAAGATTGCGTTTGGTACGTGAAATCCAAATTTTAACCATGAAGTGACATGAACAAAGCTCTTTCGGATTTACGAATGAGGTATATGAGTGCGTCATACTGTGAAAACGAAAGAAAATTAAGAAGAAAGAATTACAAAAATATTGATTGATCGCAGAATGGTAAGTATGCTTATACTAAATAATGATCAAAGATGATATTCATGGTTCTTCTTGAATATTAAATTCTTCTACCAATAAGACTAAGTTATACCTAAATGATAGAAAAACATCTAGCCTTTTATAATCGATAGGAAAAAATGACAATACGGTTGTTTATAATACATTTTGTTGTGATGTTGAAAAGTAGTAGTGTCTTCATGTTTATTTATAGTTAAATCAACTGTAGTATACTAAAAATAAGTAATGATGGTGCAATAGATTGTTTCTCCATAGATAAACTCACTATTGACAATGAAAAGTAAATGAAATTCGGTGGAAGCTTAGTTTGATCATTTTCACCCTTTAGTGGGAGCTTTTTCAAGAATCGGGTCAAAAAAGTAAATAATTAGCTTCTTCTAACAAAGATAAGAACAAAAAGTAGGCAACTTAACCTACTAAAAAATATTAAGAACAACAACTGAACCTAATACAAGTTCTTAACCTAAAAGAACCAATGAGTAAGAAGTTGAAGATATAATTAGATTTCAACTAATAAAAGAACAAAAAACATCTTGGATAGAAACTAAACTTGCTGGGTGAGAGCTGCAGCAGCGGTGGCGGGGGTGGTTGGAGTGCACGGTCAGGCAAAATTTTGAGGGAAGATTTCACCGCGGGAAAATTTACGAAAGGGGAGGAAATTTTACTGAACTTGTTGCTGAGCGCATCAACAGCAGTGGTGTCGATGGTGAGCAACTAGGGCGAATAGGAAAATTTGGGGGAGGATTTGGGTATGAGTTCAGGCAAGGGGAGAGAACGAAAATCAAAGGATAACTGATTTGCAAATAGGTGTAATTTGTGATTTTAAACAAAAAAAGAAAATCATAGTAAACAATACATCCACGTGCCAGACTCCCATTTGTTAGATACAATGGGCTGAGAAAATATTGGACCGATGATTGATTGTAGTTTATGATTTAAAAAGAAAAAGAAAAATATTGTAAACAACACATACACATATCAGACTTTCATTATGAGTGTCAAAATTAAACCTGATCCAAAAAAATCGAACTCGTTCGACCTGAAATTTTTTAAGTTCAGATTTGGGTATTTCGGGTTTGCGAAAAATCGGGTCGGCCCAAACCCAAAACAAACAAATTTCGTGTCGTGTTTGGATCGGATTTCGGGTTGACTTGATAACGCGAAATATAAAAATCATGTTAGGTTTCGTATTTCGGGTTGACTTGAAATTATTTATTATTATTAATTTAATTTATAACATTTATATTATTTAAAATAGAAAATAATAAAAAATTAAATAAAAATGAATTTAATTTAATTTGTTGAAGTTTTCGGGTCTGTTTTGTGTCAGGTGTGTATCGGTTTGTTCGAATTTCGGGTGACTTAAAATCAAATTAGGTCAACCTGAATCCGACTTGAAAGAATTCGTGTTGTGCTCGAGTCTAGGGTTTCAGGTCAAATTTTGGGTTCGGATCGGGTTCGAGTTGATAATTTTTTTGTTACCCCATAGCTCAACACGACACGAACACGACCCAAAAATACGAATTGACACCCGTAACTTCTATTTTTTGGTCAGTGTAAAACGAGAAAATATTGAACTGACAATCCAATCCCGAAAACAAACTTTAGACTTCTTTGTATGCAAAGAGAACACAAGACCAATTGAATTATATTTGATTTGTTTTAATTTTATTATAATATACTTATACTATCATATATTTATTAATATATTTAATTGGTATTTATTGTTATATATTACGTATAACAAAATGTAGTATAATTAAATATTACAATAAATTTTAAATTTCAAATAATTATGGACTATGTTGTTTACAAGTAAGTGGAGACAAGAAAAAATTTTAGTCAAATTTATGATTACAAACTAAGAAAATGTATGAATTGATTCTGTGCTGAATAATTCCACATGCAAATGTATGATTGTTGGCAAAATAAAGATATTGAAACTAAACTTAGAAGTATGAGCTAAAAAGTAAAATATAACTAATGTGAATGAATTTGGATATGGTATTTATGTAAAAAATTAAATACATATTTTTCTAAAAAAATTAATATATTATACATATTTATTATTTTTATATTACCTACTTAATTTATTATCCTTCACATAAAAGAAAATATTCCTTCAAACAATTCAAAAAACAAACATACCCTTTGTTTTGTTTTGATTTGATTTGATTTCAAATCACTCTTATTTTGTTACTCTGACGTACCCATGTAATTTGTTCCTATTTTCTATTTTCGCTTGTCCCATATAATTTGTCATTTTTTTTTTAAAAAAAATTATTATACACTTTAATCATATTTTAAATTTTATATTTTATAATTTTAATTAAACTACTTAGTTATTTTAATCTTAATATATAATTATTTTATTATACAATAATTATTTTTTAGTAATAAACTTTTTAATTATTTACTAATTATATTTTAAGCTAAATTTTCATATTTACAGTAATTGACTCATATTACATGAGACGGATGGAGTATTAAATATGCAAATAAAAAATGTACTCTATATATTTCAATTTAATACTACATTTGTCCGACTCTAGAGGTCTCATTTACTTTTTACGTGTTGATAGTTGAGTATTAATTATTATATAAAAACGTAGTACAAATTAAGGGAAAATGACAAAAATACTTCTTTTGATGTCTTATAATACCATTGTAATGATATTTGTGCAAATAATTATACATATATAAAAATATTTTTAATGTTAAGTACCTTAGAGCCGGACGAATAGAGTATATTTTATTATTTTTATTTGTCTTATTTAAAAATACTGTATCAGTTTTTTTTATCATTCAAAATATTAATTTTTATTATAAATAAAATTAATTCATATATAAATATAAAATGCTTAAATTTTTTTTACAAAAGGACTCATTTTGTTTGTACCAAAAAATAATAACAAAATTATTTTATATATTTTCGTGAACTAATAAATAATATTATTTTTTAATTTATTATAAAAAATAATAAAATATATATTGAGGTGGGACAAAAAGAATATTATTTTATGTAGTTACATTAATATTCTATTTAAATTAAAATTAAGAATCTAAATACTTTACTTTTCTTGCACCCTATATTCTCTACACTTGTAATGAAATGTTTGTATTTATGGGATGGCCATCATCTTCTTCTTCTTCATATAATTTATTTCCTTGGTTCCTTCATCAATTGCTCTCAAAGCCATGAAAGATGCAAATGGTGATTCAATTATAGCTTTTATTCTTCAATACAATTCTTTTTGTGTTTTTATGTGATTTTGTTTTTGGAAATAATTGTTGTGTTATATAATATATTTTAAATAAAAAGTATGTATTTGTTAATTATAAAAAATGCCGAGAAAGTCGAAAAGAACAAAATTTTAGTAGCTCTAATAATTTCTTGTTGGATTCTATTCAATCTATAAATAAGATAAGTTGGATCATTTAGTGATTTTATATTTTGATCAATATAGTTGAACATACATACATACATAGTGTGACCTGTCTGTCGGGCCTAGCTTGCAGGGTATTAAGTTCAGCAGAAGTTTACTCAGTGCGCACTTTCGAATAACGATTGCGAATTCTCATATCATAAAATAAAATAAAAAAAAAAAAAAAAAAAAAACAACTCTACGTACATTAGAAGTGATTTATCCTATCCATTGTATATTTTTTAAGGTGCATCTGTTCAACGACTCTCTGTGCTCGAATTATTGCACAACAAGCTACAAGGCATACTGTGTTGTCTACATCCAACCAAATACAAGACCCTCGATGCCATGCTCGAGAGGAAAATGATGGAGATGAAGCGAGCCAGTGTCCGTGTGCCGGAGCATCTCAACTTCAAAACCATCGACTCCGTGTTAATAAAATTCCCACAATTCCGTGAGGGTTTCCAAGAGATTCGAAATGTATTTCAACAATACGGTATGTCAAGCACTCAACTCTTGTGGTACATTTCTTTTCAACTTAGAATTGAGTTTGATAGTTTAAAATTTTAATTTGAATAATACTCCCTCCGTCGTCCGTCTCTAAAGGTCTCATTTACCTTTTGCGTCATTGTACTTAACATTAAAAATATTCTTCTATTGGTATTATTGGAGTATTTTTGTAAGTTTTTTTAAATTTGTATTACATTTTTTATATAATAATTAATATTCAAATATCAAAATGCAAAAAATAAATGAAACTTTAAAGAGCCGGACGAAAATAGTATTTGATGTAATAATATTTTGTTTCATAATAAAAAGAACAAATCAACAAAAACAAAAGAAAAGCGTAGAGTCCAAATAATAAAAATTTGTGTAAAGACAGATTTAAAATTTTCTTTATCTTCTTGTAGATGAAGACTCCGACGGCATCCTCGACATAGAGGAGCTCAAGAAATGCTTGCATTCGATAGAGCTCAACGACATCGACGAGGCAGAGATCGACAATCTTTTCGACTATTGCAACGTGGACGGGAACAAAGGGATGCAATTCAACGAGTTCATAGTTCTTCTATGTCTCGTGTATCTCCTAATGGACTCGACTCCTGCAGTATACACTACACATTACTACAACAACTACTTCGATATTATATATACTCGATCGAACGTTCGTTCTCATAGTACGCCCGTGTTTGTTATACCATTGTTGTCTACCAGGAGACATCAAAAACAAACTGGCCGCTAATCAAAAGAACATTCGATGCAATAGTTCAAGTGTTCTTATTCCTCGACAAAAGAGGCGATGGGAAGCTAAAGAGGAAAGACGTCGTTAGGGCATTAAACGAGGCTTCTCCTAAGGAGAAGTCTCCCGCACACATCACCCGAACTCGATTCAGTTAGTATAAATCTACTATCATCTTCTTCCATCAATTCAGTTCTATTGACATTCACAAATGCTATATATTACCCAAAGAAAATGTTAAATGATCAACAGCATAATCTAATCCTAGTCGTTTAAACTTATCAAGCCAAATCTTAATTTGATGCTAAACTCGTTGGACGAGTTCAAAGTAACTAAACTCGAGGGCTATAAAACTGTATTTAGTTTCTTACCGTTTCAATCGACACGAAGGCTTTCGGCTGCTAACAATGGAATCGTTGTTTTTGCAGAAGAAATGGATTGGGACAGGAACGGGCGAGTTAGCTTCAAGGAATTCATCTACTCCTTCATCAGCTGGGTTGGTACCGAGCAGGATAGTGAAAGTCCCGAGCAACACATTTAGGATGCGAGATGACGATCAGGTAAAAGGAAGAATCTGAGGGGAAAAAAAGGGCAGATGTTATTGCAAGTGTTCATAAATATGTTGTCAAATTCTGACACTAAACCTCAGAATGTATCAAATATTCGACGGCAGTGATGCCTTGTTAAACAAAAAGATATATATGAACCTTGACGGTAGGTGATCCATTTCGAGCAGAAACGAGTCGTGTAATCTATTCTGAATCCGTCATCTCATCTTCATCCTCCTCTAGGATATACACCAACGCGCGTTTTCTAACAGCAAAAACACAAGCCACACCTCTCGACGCTGAAATAGGAATTTCAAATAAGGTAAGGCGATTATACGAACGGAAACTCTAAACTACTTAGATTCAGTATTGCAGAAATCAGAATGTCCAAAAGATTTAATGTAATAGTGAATTAGGAGCAATTTTGTAAGCTGGAGATATCGATGGGGGGATATAGTAGAGGAGAAAACTTACCGCTGACTGCCAAAGGAGCAACCACAGAGTGAGAAATCTCCCGAATCTTTTCATTCTCCAAATGGAGGTTTATAATTGAGTCCTGAAGTGCGGTAACATCATGTTTAACTACATTCTAAAAATGAATCTCGAAAATCAAAGAGACATGCATCAAGAATTCAACTATTTAGATTAAATAACAGATTTGCAAAAGACAGCCATATGTGTCGAGGTTTGCTACGAATGAAAGTTCATACCTGAAGTTCGGCAAGATTCCAAGAGTTGGAATCAGAGCACCTCGAGATAGACGCATATGGAAGGTCGTCTGCTTGTACAATCATCATACAAGCATTCCCTGAGCCCTCGGAAGCTGCAGTAGCTTCATTTAAAAGCAACACCATTTGTTTTTCCTGTAATAGATAATGGATAGAATCTGAGCAACTGACAAACAAAAATAAAAAAACCATGCTGTGTTCGGAAAGAGATTAGAATAGTCACTGATTTTGCGCGTACTTTATACAGAGACAGATCTACTAAGTGATAACCATCAGGGATACGTATCAATGCAGCCTCGACTGAGTTTTCCACCTCATTAATAAGGCCCCTAGCTATGCCAAAGCAATTTGTGATGTTCGGTAAAGTCTCATCGGGTATCAGGAAACAAGTGTAACCAGCAATTTTCTGGCGGGCAGTTCCGTGATATGCAGCGTCATGAGAAGTATCCTACCAGAATTCGATAAGAAGATTAAATAAATAATTAGGTCAACTCCCTGCATTTGATGTTAGATACTGAAGTCAATTTTCTTTCACAATAACAAGGAATTAGCTAGCATAGCAATTCCAGTGAGCAATTTTCATTATGTTTCGTGAAATAGCAGCTAATGATGAACTAGAGTAACCTGAATATTCGTTTCTGAAAAATTTTCATCAGCAACGTGTCAATTAAAAGTATTAACAAAGATAAAAAAAAAATAACATTTGACTAGTACATGGGAACTTTTGGCGTTTCAATAATAAATTAGAATCATAAATGTAGTCAATCGATTGTAGCTAAATGACAGTGCTGAACAAATATCCCGACCTATGGATATAAAGCGCAGCAACTTAAATTTCATAACCACAAGCATGAAAGCATCATTAGACTATTGCAAAATCTAATATACCTGATAGTACGACACTGAAGTTGGAAAATAAGAAAACTTAGATTTCTGTGATGGCGAAACAGGGAAAAGCGGCAACACATCTTTACATAGTATCCTTTGAGAAACTGTGGTTAGTGGCATCCCCAAAGCCTTCTTGAAACTGGAATCAGGAGTGATTATATTCAGGCACAGTGAAATATATTATGAACTATAGTATGATTTCTCAATGGATCGCAGGTCTTGCTTGTGTACATGTATCATTATCTACGTACATTTTATGAACCGAGAGACAAACTTTATATTTTGCATGAATAAAAAGAAAGCTTTCAATGCAATATATGACATTAGCAGAATAAACTACGATTGACCACTGGTGTTGATATTAGAATGTGCATATTCAATACTTTCTACATCCTCAAGTTCACCGAGCATAAAATCTACTATCCTGAGTATTTAACACATAACATTGCAAGTCATGTAAATGAGAATAAGAAAAGAAAGAAAAGCACACCAAAATTCCAGTTGTCGAAATTCTTTAGATAAGGTTCTTTCCAAGTGCTTGTAATCAGCAAAACCTCCAAAATGAACCAGTTCCTTGACACGTTGCTTTGTTTCCCTTGATGTAATAAGTGAGAAAATGTTAAAAAAATAAATCACACAATGTTGCTTATAAAAATTACAAGAATCCTGCCATATTGATTGCTTGATTCTACAATCACTATTTCAGGAGTTGTAAAGTAGAGTAAGAGAAATGGTAACACAAGAAGGGAGAAAAAACTCCTGTTTTCTTTATTTTCCTTTTAACTCCCTCCATTAAACAAGGAAATAATAATATATGAATTTATACCCCTCCTTTTCCTTTCAAATTTGTCCCGCCAACCTACCCATTAAATTGAATGTTCTGAATTTAAATCCTTGAAAAACTAAAACAATTTTTCCAATGTCTAAGCAAAAATGCATGTACATCGCATGAATAACCATTTACTGCAGCCCAATGTGGAACCATTCAGTAAACTCAAAAACTCTGAAATCTAAAAGACTGCAAATTTCTGAAGATGCACATATAGTACCGCTGGAAAAAGAAATCCAAAGTACTACCAAGAAGAGACTTTCGAAGTTCAGTACATGGAGGGATTGGGGGTGACTTGGGAATATATAAATCAATAATAATCAGATCAATCAAGTAATCTTTTTCCACCAAAACAACCAAACCTTTTGCAATTATAGCAAGATTTAATAACAAGTTAGCATTTAATTTTCTGAAAAAACTCACAAATCTACTTCAATAAAGTCATTAGTCTCAGTGCGGTGCAGCAATGTCCCAACTGGATCCTGAGCGTATAAAAACTTCAGGAATAAGATGACAAGTTCACTGCCAACAAGGAAGAATCAGCTGAATTCAGATAATTAACGAATTTTTAAGGACATAGATCGGCTAATAGTTCAAACCTACTGAAGGGAAGGAGCTGATCACTTGGTTCAGACATTAGAACTTTCACACATTTCAGAAGCCAGTTGAAAAAATTGGAGTACTGAAAAGAAGATACGCATTAGCATCGAAATTTAAGCAGATACATGGAAGCAACAAAATGTGTATAAAGCATTGCCGAAACTGCACACAAATATGATCTCATGATTCTGAATATAGTCGGAGTAGCTCCTTATATAACTGTGTTTACTTACAAATGATTTACTAAATTGTGTTGTGATATAGCTAGGAAAGAAATTCTAATGAAAAGATGATTTTAGTTTTTTACATTACCACATAAAATTTAAATTCCATTTTGAAATAAAACATTATATCAAGCAAGGGGAAAAAATCTAATGAAAAGATAGTTTTAGTTTTTCTCATTACCACATAAAATTTAAATTCCATTTTCAAATGAAAAATATTACATCAAGATAGGGGGGAAAGTTCTAATGGAAATATTTTTTATTTGAATTTTGTGTTTCCGTGCATAAGTTTTATTCAATTTAATGTGTATGGAATTTATAAATGTATTACTATACGTATATATTGAGGGAGGCCTGGTGCTTTGAACATTTGGATAAAGTGGCAGATCAAGTACGGAAAGTTTAAAACTTCCTTAAGAATAACATTTACCTGTTGCATCGCTGAAGACAGAATCCTACTAAAGCGCTCAATCTGTACAAGTAACATTCCAGCCTTCTCCATTGCATTATCAATTAGTTTCTCATCCAAACCAACACCTTGGTAACGTGCACGCCATTTTGAAAGCCCTCTCAGTTCTCCCATTCGAAACCCAATCATTTCTGCAGCAGGCTGAGAATCAAAAGTTCAAAAACTTTATTTATCAACAATAAACTGTTACTCTGAAACAATACTCCAAATCAAGGGTGGGTGCATTAGTTGAACTGCAAAGAATTGGTTTAGCTTACGATGTCTTTGGAAACCATTAATAGTAGATAATTAGGAACAATATAAAAAATGGGTGGGAAGATCGGTGAGGGCCATACAATGTCATGAAAGAAACTATCAAATTGAACCATATTCCATCACATTGTATTATAATCCATCCACATTTAGCGACATTCAGTATATTGTAAGAGCAGGGCAATCAGTGGATCTACATATCCACTCTGAGTTACAAATTTTGCAGCCAACACAGTTTCATATAAGTCTTCTTAACAAGTCAACATGTTTGGCGAAGTCATACGAACCTGTAGATGATCAATAACGATTGCCTGAAGTTCTTTCCCAGCCCCGCAAACAGCCTTGGCCATCCGTTTGATACCCTAAGTTTCAATTTACTCAAATTAATAATAAATCCTACATTATATGGTCAAACACAGCCAGGGTGTTCTTTTATCAAATTTGTACTATTCACCAATTTTTTTCTCTTAAAAATATCAAATCAAATACTTATTTTTCATTTTTTATATTATACTAAAAAATCAATTTTACATTCAAAACATTATATCAATACATGTTTATATAATATCATACGACTATTCAAATTCAAAATTTTTTCATTTCAAATCTCAAACAAAAATTCAAACCCCCAAACAATCACACCCAGCATGAGATAACACGTACTGCTTCACCGAGAGTATTAACTAAAAATTGATGAATTGGTGGACTTGTTCTTGCGCCACCCAACAAGCTTAAAAATTCTTCTTGAGGAGTGGAGTCCACACCTGCACTTATTCCAACGAAAATTCGAACTTACAACATAAAATTTTAAATGAAAAGAATGTAGATGGTTTATTCATTTTCTGTCCAAACAATCACCGTGGTCAATAAGCAGGGAGACTAGAGCATTGAATTTTTCAAGGTATACATGCATCGCATCTGCCCATTGCTTAGACATGACTTGAAATGACCTACGGATGACTTCAATCAGATGCTCGACATTCGAAGCTTGCTGAGCAACCTGATGTAGCTCATTTTTCCTAAAGAAGATGAGGAATAAAATCAGTTATCACAATCAGCTCATAACAGCATCCCTAAATACAAACAATTGCAACAAAATTATTTTCAAGGATGTTACTACACCGTTTGACCAATGTATTAGGAAGCAAATGGGCCAAACGGCTTCATGCGAAAATAATAGTAATGACCACAGATAATTATTTTAAAGCCTCACCAATTTATCTGGCAATAATTATGAAACTCTAGAAGTACATGCATTTCAAATTAATTTCTACTCAAACAATGACCTAACTGTAGGACTACCACCCACCCGCCATCCCTTCCATCTCCAAATGTGCAATTTGAGATATTAAAGTATCATTTAAGATGCATATCGACAAAGCTCCTAAGAAAATGATTGTGGAGTCGTTCGTGAAAGCCTTGGATGAGCATTGTTATGTTACCTTTTTGAAAAAATTTCACTCTCGAGGACGAAACAATGGAAACCATGTAAATCACTTCCAAGCAGTTTTTCATCACTTTCCTCTGATCCCATTTCAACTAGTCCACCATAGGACAGAACAATAATATTACAAAGATCACTTGATAATGCCACCTGATACAAAATAGAATGAGAATCAAATTCATTGAAAGTTCATTTGTAAAATCTAGATAGATTGTCATAATGGACAGTAAAATGTCATGCTTTTTAAGAAATATTTCCAAATGGAGAAAAAAAAAAAACAGCGAAATGCTAAATTAATTAATACAGCAATCACTTCACCTACGTTAAGTTGTCATTACATACAGTTCCAACATTCCACGTGGACATGTTCAATACCATGAATAAAATTATAATGCAAAAACTACTAGTTTGCTCATTTAAAATAAAACAATTTAGGATAATGCTTAATATATTTTATAATTCAATCCTTTGTTTTTTTTTTTTTTTTTTTTTTTTTTTTTTTTGCAAAATACCCTCCTTTGAAAATGTCATGTAGATTGGATTGGGACTAGATCATCAATTTTATCTGAAAGGATCAATGATAACAATACGTCAATATATACAAGGCTGTTGTCACTTGTCAATCAAACTAAATGCGGAACTAGAGTGGATAAAATAACTAATTATCTATCCATATTAATCCCATGTACTTCATCGTCCATATGTAGACATGGTTTTGTAGATAGTGAACCATAGAAAAACAAAAAAGCATCAGAATGATTAACACAAATAGGTTATCATTACTTAATTGGTATAATCCTGACATTTTATCCCAGGAATTGAGAAGTGATTATCGGATACTTGGCTATATAATAACATAGCAATGGAATTAACATATAGGCATCACATAAAAGATGATGCAGATACCACTATTCCGCTATTAAACATGGTTTAATATTGCTACTCTATCTATTTTTATTTTTCTTTTATGACGTGGGAACCCACAGCCGCTCTCAAATACTACTCTATCTATTTTTATTGCATATATAGTTGACATATAACAGATTTAAATTAGAAAGTACCAAATTCCCAAAGTAGGTAACAAAAGGAGCCAACTATACGCAAACGAAGTGAGTACCTTGCAAATAGAAGCATCTCTGACTTGGTAGGAAACATGGCTCTTCAATTGTGAACTGTGAATTGCAAGATTGTGTATGTTCTGGAACACAAAGTCATTTGCAAAGAAAGAGGCAACAGCAACAAAATTATATGTCAGATAGATATTAAAAGCATGAAAAAAAAAAGTAAAAATTCATTTGATATATTAAGAAATAACTTACAACTCTTCCTATGGGGAAAATACCAAAAATATTAAAGCAAATATTTCCTTCTTTATCCCCACTGCATAAAATGTCCAACTGTTTATACGAAGAATCGAACAATTCCCGGAACGAATTATCACTTTCGTCAGTGAAACCACTATTATCTCCTGGGACAAGTCCAGGTGCGCGAGGAACTCTTGGAGCGGGCGGAAAAAAGCGAGCAGTTCGATCTTCGTATCTTAAATTGTTACTGTTTTCATCCTGGATACTCATGGACAGAAATCATATAGCCAGTTACAATAAAATGTGATGATATACTAAATGAAATGTGTGAATGTGCATGATCTCAAGTAAGAAGACTGCAAACATTAGGATGTGTTTACTTATGAGATTTTTGTTTTGGTTTTACTATTTCAAAAAAAATTTATGAAAAATATCAAATCAAACATCTATTTTTCATTTATTATATTACAATAAAATTTAATTTTACGTTCAAAACATCACATCAAACAACTATTTCAATTCAAATTTTACTACTCAAAACCAAAACCCTACAAATAAACACTTTCTTAGTTTCTCTTTTTTTTTTTTTTTCCATAACAAAACTGTATTATTATTCATCTTTTATTAAATTAAATACCAAAAAAATTACATAGAGATCTGAATGTGTACAAATTCCTCTACAATTAAATGCAAAATATTGGGGAGCAACCCTATTAACACTACGACGTCAAGATGTTTGTCTAATAGTTGATAATAATCACAACCTCCATATATGTATTCAATGAAATGAGTCTATTATTGTGTAGATAGGCAAATAAACCTAAGATGGACCAAAAATGCAAATGAGTCAAGCAAATTCAGGTTTTTCACACGACATTCACACAAAATCAGATGTAAGAATTATATTCAAGAAATGATACCATTATCTTTCTTCTATCTTCCTCCCAGGTCAAACATACGACAGAAGCACTATGAAGCTTCATACTTCTCAGCAGCTTTCCATTCTGCATTCCCAAAATGCACCAAAAAAAGTTAGATCGGCTTCAAGTAAGTTTCATCATTTACAGCCAGACTCTTATCAGCCCTGTACAACAAATAACTTACTTCCACATCATGCAATGCAATGGTTCCGTCCTCATGCCCCACTGCAATCGCCTTACCATCCGGGCGCCAACATATGGACGTTATGCATTTTCCTAGTGTTCACCCAACCAAAAAATATACACACTTCTTGATTAATATTACTAAAAAGTACAATATATATACACAGTCACACAATATATATAATGTATATATACTCTATCTACTCACCAAAAATCAACAATTCAATACCTAACAGAAAAAAACACCTCAAACTAAAAACACTAAACACATTCGAATTACTTCCATTTGGGTGTGCGATGGATTTCAAATGTACAAGGTCAATGGTGGTTGTTCCCATTCTCTTTAATACCATATCATTTCAAATATTTCCTAAAGCACCAAATGATGGATTCGAGGGTAATTGTATATTAAATTTGAAGTAATTCAACTTCCTTCATTTAGAATCCAATCTTGAATCCAAATCCATCCAAACAAAAGCCTCGTTTCTTTTTCTTTTTCCTTTTCCTTTTTGTTTTTTCTTTCTTCCTTTGCATTGGGATATCAAAACCCTAACTAACTAAACTGCAAAATCGACCTCCACCAGCGAGCAATATCTATCCCAGGATTACAATGAAGCTAGTTAAAATCAACTGAACACACCATTAACTTAATTCGAAACCACACATCAAAGAAAGCAAATTCAACGCACAGTCACATCATTCCTACATCTAATACAAAAGAGATACAAAACGCAGCTTCGCCAATTACTCAGCCTGTAAAATTTTGTGCTCCAAAGCAGAACTTTCTATTTCCAAAAAAATGCTTACCAGGGGTGGTAGTCCAAAGCCTTTGCCAATTGAAGCGATGAAGAAGCAGCTTTGAATCCTCGGTGACCATGGCCAGCAAATCCTTCTCTGGATTCCATTCAGCAATCTTAATCTGAGGAAGCAAGCCGAAATTACTCGCGCACAATAAACAAATGGTTAAACAAAGACGACAACGTCTTAGCGACAATGGAGGCGAACCTGAGAAGCAGTGGGCTTATCAAATTGAAGCTGGAACGGGATCACTCTCCGCGATTCTTCGTCTGCCATGGAAGTGAGGTGAGAGCTTCGAGGCGGGCCTTACTTCAAATGGAATTTCAATTTCGAGTTCAATAGTATTTAAAATTAATTTGTAAGGCAGGGATGATTTGGAATTTTGTTTTGTTTCCAATTTGAAATAAATATTTGTGTTTGTTTGGGATTTTTGATTTTGAATTGGGATTTGAATAGTAAAAATTATACTATTGGATAAGATATAAATAGGTATTGACGTGATGTTTTGAATGTAAAATTAATTATAAGTATAATATAAAAAATAAAAAATAAATATTTGATTTAATATTTTTTTTAAAAAAAATTATTATTGCAATAGTTGTTAATTGAATTTTTAGTATTACCTTTTGTTGGTGACGGTATGTATATAAAAAAAGTTTTTTGAAGGCGTTGTTGCGATTTTTTGGTATTATGGGTGAGCATTTTTACGGGATACTTTTTTTTCAATGTAGTATATCTATATTTATTACTTTAATATCTTTGTTGTCTGATATAATATTTTGTATTTGTTTGAAAATACCTTAGTTTTGTTGGTATATATATATTATGACTACTCATATGTGAACTTTGGTATTTATTTTATGTGTTTGTAAATTAAATAATGTTAAAACTTATTATTATGCAACCTTGTTTGTAAAAAATAATAAAAATTGATAATAGGTTTGCTAGAGGTTGAGTATGTTCTTTACGTTGATAGTCGATAATCGAAAAGAATACATTTTTTCCGTATGAACACTTAGGACTAAAACAATATTGAATCTTGGCATATGACAAATTATCAAATATAGAATTTGTGAAAGTGAAGTTGTTATAGACCGCAGTCATAAAATTAAATAAAAAAATATTTATTGAGTCTGGCTAAATCGAAAAAATAGGAAAGGGTGGCTTACTGGCGAACGAGCCGAAAGTAGTAAAGAAATGCAGAATTGTAAATAAAAAAGTGAAGATGAGCGGATAGTAGGGATGAGCAGAGTGACGTTTTATGAGCTGCGAGTGCTGTGACTGAATTAATGAACCTGACGGTAGGTGTAACAAGTGAGCGATATATATATATATATATATGAGCGAAGTGAGGCGAGCGGTGAATGATAATGAAAATGAGTAAACGAGCGATACTAAAACAACCATAATAATGTAAAGAGATATTTGTGTGTGATAAAAGTTAATAATAGTATAATTTGATTTATGAATTTATATTGAATTCAATATATATTTTTAAATTTAAATTTATTTGTATTATAAAAATATTTATTTTCTACAAAATTACATATATATATATTATATTGTATATATTTTGTTAAACTATTATTATTATAAATATTAAATAAATACTTCCTCCATCCCACGTACCATGCCCACGTTGCCGTTTATGTCCGTTTCACTCACTTTTCTGTTCTTTTGAAAAATGATTATACATTTTAATCTCATTTTAAATTTTTAAATTTTTTTTTAATTTTAATTAAACTAATTAGTTATCTTAATTTTAATTTATAATTATTTATATTATAGTACTATAATAAATATTATATTTAAGGGTAAAAAGTTTTTTTACAAAAAAAACAAAGGTATTCTAAAATTCTATTATACAACATTTCAAAAATGAGGTCAAGCCGTTCGTTCGATAAGCTAAAAGTTATCGTTACGTTCTTTACTGCACACTATTTATATCTATACAACAATATGTTATAAAAGAGATTATCATTAATTATATTTTTTCCCTAGTAATTAATTATGCAAATCGGAGAAATGAAGTAAGCACAGCGTGGTCATGCTGGCGCTGGCAAGATTCGGAATTTTGCAGCAAGTCCGAATCGAAAGAGTTGGTTTCGATTATTTCACCAAATCTTAGAATTAGGGTTTAAGGTAGAAGTTAACGAAAAAAGAGAAAAGACTAAAATTAATGGATGATAGCGGCGGCCCAAACACCACTGGATTGGAACAGAAGCTGAAGGACGGCAAGCTTTACCGCCATGTCAATGCTCTAATTGTTGCACATCTCCGCGACAACAATCTGAGTCAGGTAAAGTTATTTTATGTTGGAATTAATTTCTTGAAGTAGTGATGCTCTTGCTTGATGGATGTGATAGAGTGGAGCTGAATTGAGATTCGAACTAATTTCACAATTAATTATATGCTGATTCTAAGCTGTGATGATTTTAGCATAAGATTTGTTGGATTGTTTTCAATTTCTCAAATGTAGAATTATTCGAGTTAATGATACTATCATAGTGAATTTCTGAAGTTACCATCTACAAAATCAGTCGAGGGATATATTTCCAGAGGCATTTATGTCGCCAGGCATAGTTAGTTTTACTTATAATGTTAGGCTTTTGAAAGAGGTATAGTCTCCTTATGCTAACAGTGCTGAATTAGCTTACATTTTTATGTATGGTGTTAATGGTGTTTGGTGTTGAGGACAAGGATCATCACAATAGTTGTTATATGCTCTCGCGTTTAATAGTATTTCGTAATTCTGGAGAGTTGCCAAAGAAACTGTTTAGTGGGGTTACATATATTAGATGAATTAGAAATCAATTTTGATTTTTTGTGCAACACTTCTGGCATTTAAAAGTGAACTGTGGCCGTCAACGGCATATTTAGCAGCATTATGGTCGAGGCCATTTTTATTTTGAACCCTTCTTTTGTGCAAATCATGTGAAAAGATCAGGTCGTTAATATTGTTTTCCTCTTGAGCAGGCAGCGAGTGCTGTTGCCTTGGCTACGAAGACGCCTTTAGATGTTGAAGCGCCTCCAAAAAAGCTTCTTGAGTTGGTTGCCAAGGTTTACATCTTTTAATTTTTAGCTTTTTATCAAACATTTATTGTGCTCGAGTAATGAGATCAAAATAGGGGGAAGACTTTTCATCAACTGAAAATAAGGATCAAAATAAATTTATTAAATAAACAAACAAAACAATACCGGTGGTTTCTAAGTGGTGAACAGGGTCTTGCAGTGGAGAAAGATGAAGCAGTCAAAGGGGTATCATCAACTGCATTATTTGATTCAAGCACACCGGCCAAATATGGTTCGGTACCTCCTCCACAAGCTTCTGCTGTTGATTTCAGGTATCATTCAATTGTGCGTATACTCTGGAGTTAATACATTGTCACAAGTTTAACCATGCTGATATATGGACCTATTTCTTTGAAATATTTGATGGGATTGAGATTGTTGGTTAGAATATACAAATAAAATGACAATCAGTTTTAGTTATCAAAAGCTTTGATGTCCTCTCCCCCATTTTTCTTTTAATATTTGACTATTATTCGGAAATCAAATGAAAAGGGATAGATATAGATTTAGTCCTAGTGGAGCATGTTTCTATTTCTTATAGTTACATGGGCTGTGAAGTGAGCAAAATCTACTCTGCAGTTCCATTTCAAATATCTTATATTTTTTATGGGTTTGACTTTGAGTTTGATTCACAATTCACTGGCCTGTTAACATGGATCTTCAGAATATCACTCTGAAAAGAAAAAAAATTAAATGTCTAATGCAATGACAATGACAATAATAGATCTTTGCTACTGGATTGAATGAAGTAGACAAGAAACCAGAGATAACAATCCCCTGTCTTCAGATTGTATTGATTTCTATCGACTAAGACAGTTTTGATATGTTTATTTGCTCAGAATATTTCATCCCATTCTATAAATTCAAGTTAGCACCTAACATTTGATTTTTGATTTTTTTTTTTTTGGTGTGTGTTCTTTTCAATCTTTGATGAATGCTTGACATTATTATTATGAATGTTTTAAGTTCCATTCTCCTTTTTTTGAACAGCGCTGTGCAAGGTGCTAAAGGATCATCAAAGAGTTTTCCAAAGCATGAATCTCGGCATACATCAGAACACAAGGTTTGTACTAACTGCGAAAAAGAAAATCTTGCTAACAAACCTGCTGTTTGAATGAGTATATATATGCCGCTGAAACATGTTAATTTTGTTGCATATTTTATTTGTGTAGAATGTTGCTAGATGTGCGAAATTCAGTCCGGATGGAAGGTTTCTAGCAACTGGAAGCGCCGACACATCAATAAAGCTCTTAGAGGTTTGATCCTACTTGAATATAAGCAATTGAAACTGCATTTCCCATCTCATTGTTTTTTTCTTTGATATACAGATATCAAAAGTCAAACAGATGATTCTATCAGATGCGAGGGATGGCCCAGTGCGGCCTGTAATACGGACATTTTATGACCATATACAAGTAAGTTACCCAAGAAGAAATAATTTGTGCACAGTGTTTATTTTCCCTCTATATTTGGCATACTGAAGAACACATGTTTGCACGTGTGATTGCATATTTGTCCAGTGTGTTTCATAAATGTACCTTATATCAAAATCCTTATTTTGCTGCTGCAGCCTATAAATGACTTGGATTTCCATCCTCAAAACCCAATTTTGATTTCCGGGGCTAAAGATCGCACAATAAAGTATGGTCATACTTCTAGAATTTTTACTTCCTGTCCTTCAAACATACTACGTTCCTTCCAAGTAGCTTTTAAATTAAATATATGCAGCTAGACTTCAATACACTTCCTAATATATATTGGGTGTGTTTGTTTGGAGTTCCTTCCAAGTAGCTTTTAAATTAAATATATGCAGCTAGACTTCAATACACTTCCTAATATATATTGGGTGTGTTTGTTTGGGAGTTTGGATTTTGAGTTGGAATTTGAATAGTAAAAATTTTGAATTTGAATAGTTGTATGATGTGATATAAATAGGAGTTGATGTGATGTTTTGAATGTAAAATTGATTTTTAGTATAATATAAAAAATGAAAAATAGGTGTTTGATTTCATGTTTTTGGGGGAAAAAAATTGGATGAATAGTGGATTTAAAATCCAATCCCCCAAACAAACACACCCCGTAGAAGAAAAAAATTGGAAATTATATTATGCAACTTTATTGCATCCTTTAAATGGGTGGCATGTCATTCGACACTCAAATGTGCCTTTTTGTGTGGCAGGTTCTTCGATTTCTCTAAAATAGTTGCTAGAAAAGCTTTCAGAATAATTCAGGTTATAATTCATCCCCTTGGATTTGAACTCAATTACCAATTGTATGAAGAGAGTTTTGTGCGGTTTCCTCATTGAATTTGTTACAGGATACTCACAATGTGAGGTCTGTATCGTTTCACCCCTCAGGAGAATTTCTTCTGGCAGGTCAGTACATTTCTGTTCCCATAAACTAGATTCGAAGCAAAAAAAAGTATTAATTAACTGATGCAGAACATCGAATTTAAATTACCGAATCATCTCAGTAACTTATTTATGAACTTAATTCTCATGTCTGTTCTCGTACTTGCTTCTTAGCACAACAATATTGAACTATATGTACATATATATATATATGTTTGTTTGTGTGTGCATATTTGTGTTTCAGCATGTATGATGATTTGTTTGTTTACATGATTTCAATTTTTGAATCTTTATTGTGTGGATTTTAGTTGCAAATATATAGTTGAACATAGCTCCTATCATGATGATGCAAATATCATTCCTGAAACTTGATAAAAAAATATTTACATAATTACAGGAACCGACCACCCAGTTGTACACTTGTACGATGTTAACACTTTTCAGTGTTATCTGTCGGCAAACGCGCAAGAGGTCAGCAATGGAGCCATAAATCAGGTACTATCAATGATAACCTCATCCTCCGAATAAAATGTATGAAAAGAAACCACATTTTATGTTTCCTGAGCATCCTACGGCACTTTCCAATGCAGGTTAGATATTCGTCGACTGGTGGCATGTATGTTACAGCCTCAAAAGATGGTGCTATTCGGTTGTGGGATGGAGTAACTTCACAGTGCATCCGTTCAATTCCTAATGCCCACGGAACAGCTGAAGCTACTAGTGCATATTTCACAAAAGATCAAAGGTAGAAGTTTCGCATATCTTATATATGATGCTTAATTTTTTTTCATCCAACCTCTCGCCTCTTGAACCTTTCTTAGATACATTCTCTCTTCCGGAAAAGATTCTACTGTGAATCTATGGGACATTGGGACGGGTAAAGTCGTCAACCGATATCTTGGAGCCACACATGCACAACTACGGAGTCAGGTATGTCATGTTTCTTGCACAGAAAATTGTGGCGTTGTTTTTTTTTCTATTATTATTATTATTGTTATTGTTACGGACTTGTATTTTTAATTAGGCTCCATTTAGATATGGTTTCAAAGTTGTTAAGTTTGAAAGAATAATATAATTGAGTATTTAAAATGATAGTTTGTGGGATGAAATATGTACTCCCTCCGTCCCAAAACAATAGTCTCATTTTGCCATTTTCGCCCATCCCAAAATAATAGTCCCATATTCATTTTTGGTAACAAGCTCCCCACCTTTTCACAAAACTATTCCCGCTTTTTCACAATAATTATATAAAATAAGAACATTTTGGTCTTTTAAAAACACTTTTACACCCATTATCAATATAATATTATTATTCCTTAATTATCGTGTCAATCTAAATATCCCTATTGTTTTGGGACAGAGGGAGTATCTGATTTGGTTGAGGTTTTGGATTGGGGGCTTGGATTTTGGATTGGGATTTGAATAGTAAAAATTTTGAATGTGAATAGTTGTATGATGTGATATAAATAGGTGTTGATGTGATGTTTTGAATGTAAAATTGATTTTTAGTATAATATAAAAAATAAAAAATAGGTGTTTGATTTGATGTTTTTGGGAGAAAAAATTTGAAGAAATAGTAAAATTTGGGAAAAATCCCCCAAACAAACGCACACAAACAAAAAGAAAAAAAATTTAGTATTGTAGATTAATGTTGGTGAAAGTGAGTTTGGGTTTTATGTAAATAGAGCTTAAATTTCATAATTCCATCTAAGCATCCATTAGTGCTTAATATGCTAAGACTTCAAAAGTTTTTGATGTTGTGAATGAATAGGACTCTTAGTTTGCATGTTGTTGTTATTGTGTTGTGTTTTTTGCAGGCGGTTTTCAATGAAACCGAGGAATTCATACTCAGCATTGACGAATCAAGCAACGAGGTGCGCTTAGCTTCTCAAATCTATCTCAGCTCATTATGTGGCGATAATTGGTTTCGATGACATGTTTGTGGTTGTGGTGCAGGTAGTGGTGTGGGATGCCCTCACGGCCGATAAAGTGGCTAAAATGCCTTCGAACCACATGGGCAGTCCACGGTGGATCGAGCATTCGCCCGTGGAGGCGGCTTTCGCCACCTGCGGGACTGACAGGTCCATCAGGTTCTGGAGAGAGACATGAAAATGAAATGAAAGGGAAGCTTCAGAAGAGGTGTTGAAGATAAGATGTTGCTATCTTGAACATCATTGATATTAGTCTTTCCGGGTGAGGTGAGGGCAATTTGGTCAATTTTAAGTCTTATGTGTATTATTGACATGCAGGCCTTTGCTACATTTAATTCTAGTTTATTATCATCTTGTCTTTTCTTCAAAGATTGTTTCATACTATATGTTTGGTGTGTTTGTTTGCGGGATTTCTGAGGATTTAAGCTATTCATAAAAAAAAAAAAATTCCAAAAAATATTAAAGCAAGTATTTATTTTTTATTTTTTATATTATATTAAAAATTAATTTTACTTTCAAAATTTCACTTCAACACTTATTTATATTACATCTGTTCTAATTTAAAATTTTTACTATTTATTCAAAATTTAAGCCTCCAAACAAACACACTCGTTTATATACTCCATCTCATTGCAAATGACAGGTTTTTTTGTTTAGTCATATAAAAGATGAATTTTTTTTTTTATTTTTTTAAATTTATCAATCTTAAATACAAATACTAAATATAAATAAATTTAATTAAATTTATAAATTCGAGCAGGATTCATTCAAAACCTTTGTGTCTCTTTTCAATTAACAAATATTTATATCTATCTTTAAAAGTTTTTAATTTTTTTTTTATAAAATTAATTTATAATAATTATAAATATACCTATATATAGTTTTGTTTATTTGTATTATATAAAATTTTATTTTTTTATAAAATGATATTTATATTATATATATTTTATTGAAATATAATATTAAAAATATTTAAATACATATTTTAAATTTCTTTTAATCAATATACAATATACTTCTATTACAATCATTAAATAACTAATTTTCAACATTTATATAATTAATCTATATTATCTAAATTTGCATGCCTAAACAAAAGACATCTATCTTAAATGAGGAATGGACTGTAACATATTTAATTTGATTTTCAATTAAAGTGTATTTTTATCCAATAATTTTTTTATGACGTAATTTATCGTAAATATTACTAAAAGAATAGAAAATACATATATAAATTTACAAACACATAGTAAACTAACACCTACGTTCAGTTAAAAATTTGAACTTTGATTATGAATTTTAATAATAAAAAATTTGAATATAAAAATTTTTATAATGAGACATAAATATTATATATATATGACAAGATATTTCAAATTTAAAATTAATTTTTAATATAATACAAAAAAAATAGGGGTAAATTAATTTATATTCCTATTTCATATCTGAGTTTGAATTTTAGAAATATTAATATTATATTTGAATAAATTAGAAATAAAAGTAAAAAAAATTAAATTAACAAAGTAACGAGTAATATATTGTAAAATATATCAAACTCCTCATTTTAAAAATTTATCGAAATTTATTTTAAAATAAATGAACCAATTAGAAAACGACACGAAGGCTCCAATCAGAAGTCGTGCGGGCGTGTAAAAGACGCAACACGTTTTAGACACTGGAAGGGCGATCACGTGCGTCGAAGAATCGAAGCACGTGACGTGTGGGGGTGGGTTCAATCAAGCAGTCTTTTTGAAACTCGGAAAGCGAAAGAGCGGAATTCCTCTGTGTCTGTGTGCCGTGTGGAAGAGCGAGCGAGCGATTAAACAAATAAATTCATCGAGGCAATAAAGGGGAGGAGAAACCAGGCCCATGTTCTTGCGCTTGCGGTCGCGACCCTGTACAGAGACTCCCATACGCCGCTAGCATCTGCGGAGGAGATTCATTCTCGGCTGCGGGCGCCGTTTCAGATCTGGGTTCCTCAGGTCAGTCCGCGGTTTTGCGAAATTATTAATCTGGTTGAATTCTTGAAGGGATTTGTTGGGTGAATGGAATTAGGATGTTTTGTGGAATGGGGGCTTATTATTCACTGGATGATAGTGGGGTTTGATGGGCAATTTTGTAGTTTTAGTTGATAATTAGGGTTGTGTATTGTTTTTTGAATTATTGAGGGATCGGATTTCGTTTTCGTGGGGAATGTTGGTGTTCGATTGCAAGCAAAATCACTGTATTTTTGGTTTTGTGAACGATTTTGGGGTTAGATTTTTTTGATGCGTTTGGAAACTGAAGGAACATTTTGAGGGAAATTATGGAAGTAATTTAGTATATTTTTGGCGTCCCGAATGTAATAGAATAATGAGGTTCTTGTTGACTTTGAAGTGTAGTTTCTGCATTTCTGACAAGTGGATAATTCATTTCTGAGGAAGAATTTGGAGAAAGATAACGACAGCTGATGTAGTTGTATTTTATTTGTTTAATCACCTTAGACATGCTTGTGTGTAACTCTTCAATGAAGCTGTGGTAGGTAATAGTTTATAAATTGTGGAGATTAGGTATCTACTATTAGAAGTCAAAGATATTGAGGTTTTTGCCAAATATTCGATGGTAAGTCATCTACATCGCAGGAGCTTAATCTAATTTTGGCCATAAGTTCTTTGTTATTTGTGCACCTATGCCACGTGTGTCTTCGCTCATTCGCACCTGTGTCTGCTTGGGTGGGTGGGGGGTGGGGTGCGGGGTTTTCAATTACAGCTAATGTCAACCCGTTTTAGAAGATATATACATCTTGACTTTATTGATTCCTGATTCTGCCTTTTTAGCTCAAATGGGTGAGGGGTGAGAGCCTTGCTGATAAAAATCTGCTCATTTTTCACTTGGTTTTTCTAGTGATATGGGGTGTGTTTTGGGTTATTTTGGATTTGTAAAATTCTTAATGGAAATAGGTATTGGATTTTGATGTTTTGAATGTAAAAGTAGTTTTGAAATGTGATGTCTTAAATATAAAATAATTGTTCGTTATATAATTATATATTTAGGGGGGGGAAATGTTTTAATTGTGTGAAAACAATTTGAAACAAAACCAAAGTTCAATAGCACGCAATAGTGCGCTAATAGCAGCGTTGCGACAGTTTTTTGCTACTTCCGCTCTGTGATTCCGTATTTACACAATAGCGGCTGTAGCGCCGTTGGTGCAGATCCCTAGAAGCTCTATGTTTGCTTTTACATATAAGACTGTGTATTTACTTATATTTTAGTGTTAATTATTCTACTATTGGTGTTTTTAGGTAAATGCTCCCCATCTTTATTGGTGTCTGGTGATGAGCAAGGTTGAGATGTTCATAAGTACATATAAGTTCTTTTTATGTACTTTTCTGACATCTAAACCAGTACTCCATAAATTTGGCTGTCATACGAATTAAAGAAAATAGATAAGATTAAAAGGTTGTGGTTTCAGAACTTGAATATTGTAGATTACCAATAGGTTTTTTCTCCACACAGCCTGTATTTGTGAATCAGGAAACTTTGCCGGATGCATTACTTACAATTCTTCCATTATATAGTATATATTAGAAAATCTTAATAAATCATTCATTCTAATGACCATATGGCAGCCTTTTCTATGATATAAAGAGTTGCACTTTTCCTGTAGAATTGCAGTGCATGCCATGGAATACAATTTTACTTGAATATTTCCTAGAACGTACAGATCAATATCTTACTCTAATTTATGTGCTTTTAAATTAAAATGAGTACAATCATATTTGATAGTTGTGGAATGATATAATGCAGATTTTTAACATGCATTTTGTGTAGCAGGTTTGGTGAAGTTATTTGCATTCTGACACAACTGAAAAAGTCGATAGCACTTAAACTCGAAGTATTTAGAAATGGAAGATAGAGTACCAACTTTCTGGGGCCCTGTCACCTCGACACATGATTGGTGTGAAGCAAATTATGTCTTCTATCCCTATATTGCTGAATTTTTTAATACTGTCTCCAATGTTCCCTGCATTGTGCTAGCACTAATTGGTCTAGTGAATGCACTGAGGCAGCGGTTTGAGAAAAGATTTAGTGTCCTTCACCTGTCAAATGTGATACTTGCCATTGGCAGTGTGCTGTATCACTCTACACTGCAGCGGATGTAAGTTACTAAAATTTATTTCACTTTCCAGTATTGCAGGTTTACTTATTTATATGTTCATGCAATGTCCCTATGGATTTGAAGGATCCTCATTTTTATTCTTCTTAATCACATTTTTCTCTTGTTTTGGCTGACCTTTCCTCTTGGAAGAGTTGTAACTAATATATCTGGAACGTTTTCATAGTTTACTAAGGGTGTGTTTGTTTGGGAATTTGGATTTTGAGTTAGGATTTGAATAGTAAAAAATTTGAATTGGAATAGTTGTATGATGTGATATAAATAGGTGTTGATGTGATGTTTTGAATGAAAAATTGATTTGTAGTATAATATAAAAAATGAAAAATAGGTGTTTGATTTGGGGAAAAAAATTGGATGAATATTGGATTTGGGGTAAAATCCCCCAGACAAACACACCCTAAGATAATTTGCAGATTTGGAGCTCACAAGATTCCAAAAATGGGAACTAAAAGCAACTGCCAATTAAATGCAAAATGTCCTTCAGTAACTCTTCACAACAAACGCCTAATAATGGACTGAGAAATTGTAGTACTTGGCTTATTTAGCTAGAATTATTTAATAGAAGAGCTCGTTAATACCAACAAAGTGCATTGCTAGGGCTTATCTGCATGTATTATTTCATGGAAAAGTCAGTTTATTTTAAAGGAATTTTTTAAGTTGCTTTAGAGAAGATGATATGTTGTTTACAGCTTAGTTTGCCTAAGAACATATGCCATTCCTAAATTCTTTTGCATCATTACAACACTATTCACAATTTTAATGTTCCTGAGCAAATTCAATTGTGTTCATACTAACTCTGCCTCTTTTTTGGTTCAAGTGGGCTATTTTGAACACTTTATCTGTGAATAAAACATCTATTTTTGGTCTCAAGTGGGCTATTTTGTGAAAGTAGCTTCGTTCGCTTTATGTCAGAAAATTTTGTTTTCTTTACATAAGAGCTGCTACGATTGTGTAATTTATGATGGTATGTGAATTTTAGGAGGTGCATGAGTGTAGCAGTTTTAGATTTAAGATGGAACGTTAAAAAGTACAATTTTTTGGAATTATTGAAGTCTGGTTAACGTGCTCTGAAGTGTATTGTAACTATATGTTCCATTTTTTTATATTACTACTTTTTATACATTACATGTCTCATCTGTCCTTCACACTCAGTTAAGTTGATTTAATACTGTAACTGTCGGCTGGTTTGATGCAAATTGACTCAACGAAAGGTTCATTTGCAATTTGCGTTTACTGTGGTTCTAATTCAATGCAACTCTTATACTTTACCTCAACTCTAATTAAACATCGTTATGATACACGTGTTGAGCTCCGATTACCTTTTCTCTTATAATTATAAAGCTGATGATTGATCTTGTTATTTGCCATATGAAATTCATTATATATATATGTATATATATAATTCTACGCCAAGCCTCATAGTGTTCCATGCGCGATGGCTTACCATGTGTCATTTATAACTTTGGGCATCTGCTGTTTGTTAATTTCGAGGTTTACTTTTTGGCGTCTAACATGCCACGTGCCACTATAGATGGATTGGCCGACGACTAAAAATATCTTATCTGCATATAATTAGTATGTAGATTCGCATTTATTGCCCTTACAACATGAAACTTTTTCATCTTGCAATCTAGCTGTTACCATTTATTCTGAATTCTGCTCCAAGCCGTATCCTGATAGAGTCGCTTTTGTTGTTATATTTCGCAGGCAACAGCAATGGGATGAAACGCCGATGGTGTGGGAGATGCTCCTTTATATCTACATCCTCTACTCCCCCGATTGGCATTATCAGAGTACAATGCCGACTTTTCTGTTCCTTTATGGAGCATTATTTGCCATTGCACACTCCCAAATTCGCTTCGACATTGGGTTCAAGGCGCACTATGCTATGCTCTGTCTCCTTTGCATTCCAAGAATGTACAAGTACTATATCCACACCGAAGACAAATCTGCCAAACGCCTCGCAAAGTACTACGCGGCAACTCTTTTGCTTGCTAGTTTGTGTTGGCTAGTCGACCGCCTGTTCTGCAATGTGGTCTCAAACTGGTACTTCAATCCCCAGGGCCACGCTTTGTGGCACGTTCTCATGGGTTTCAACTCGTACTTTGCAAACACATTCCTCATGTACTGCCGCGCCCAACAGCGTGGGTGGGACCCGAAAGTGAAGCACTTGATTGGTTTATTACCTTATGTGAAGATTCAAAAGCCCAAAAAACAGTAGATGCTAGGAAGGAAGACATGTTTTTGCAGGTTGGCAAAGGTAAAAAAACTTCAGACTTGGTCATGATTCTTCAGTTTTGTCTGTTTTTTTGTTTTTTGTTTTGGTTGCTCTTTAATTGAAGATTGTAATATAAAATGATGTTATAGCTGGGGAGTAACTTTGGTTGGAAGTGGTTAAAGCTGTAAAATTTAGCATTTTTTTTGGTTATGTGGCAATATTTTTATTTATTTACATGGCTTTCAACTCAATTTTTGAGACATGTTTTGGCAGATTCAGATTGGGATTCTGATTTGGTTCTTCAAAAGTGGCTTCGTTTGCTTCACTATGTCATGAATGTGTCTTGTGTTTTGAACTGGTTCCAATGTTTTGGGTAATTTGAATTTGGATTTTTTTGTTTTTTTTTTTTTGTTTTTGGAAAAAAAGTTTTTGAATTAAATTAGATCTTGGGTGAGAGAGTGTAACACTTATGTTGGTAGAAATTATATAGCGCGAAAACAAAATTGAAAGACGACACCCTATATATATATATATATATTTTTATATGATGTGAGAATTCGCAGTCGCTATCCGAAAGTGCACATAGGAACCTGAGGACAGCCTATATTTGTTGTGCATAGAGGCGTGATAGTGTTGCTACATTACATTGCATGGGCAAGATATTTTTTATGTGAATGATTTTTTATTTTCTTTTTAAATTTTAATTTTAACATAGCATTTTCCAAAGGTGGCATCCCCAACATTGGGCAAGATTCGACTCGATCATGGAGATGGGTGTATGTGGGGGTTAGAAATAAAAAGTTTCATTTACATCAGATTATTTTTTAAAAAATTAGTATTTTTCAAAACTTTAAGGTTTTGTTATTTTGTGGATTACATCAAGTTTTTACTATTCAATTTTTATTTTTTTTTCTTTAAAAATATCAAATCAAATATTCCATCCGTCTTATAGTTATAACTATAGTGTGAGTTGGGTTTAACACGAGATTTAAAGAATATTGATATTATATTGGTAGTGGATAAAAAGCACGGGTAGAAGACTTTTTTGTCTTTGTGAATGTATTAGTGTAAAAAATAGTGACAATGGTGTAATAATAATGAAAAAGTAAAGGTAGTTTTACGATGATATGATTATTCACGAAAATGAGACTATTGTTTTGGAACAGAAAAAAATAGTAAACGAGTAATTATTTTTCTTTTCTTATATTATACTTCAAATTTATTTTACATTCAAAATATTACATTATCATCTATTTATATCACATTAAACAACTATTCAAATTCAATTTTTTACTATTCAAAAATTCAAACCCAAAAACCTAAACCCACACACAAACACACCCTAAAATTTTGTGTGTAAACGGAGCACAGAGGGTCCGTTTTTGCATCGGGTATTTATCTTAGAATTTATTTTAAAGTATGTAGGGAAAAGGCAGATTTTGTTCACCTAAATAATTATTACCGATGAGATTACAATATATAATATTCATTTAGTCTTAATTTAAAATATTTTTTTTACTATTTTTATTTGTTTCACTTCTAATTGGACACTAATATCAAAATATTCTTTAACTTTTATTTAAATAAAATATCAAAAACTCTTATAAGGATGGATGGAGATAGTATATTTTATTTTTTTATAAAAAATTAGTATTTAATATAAAATATTATTTTTTATATTACTAATGTATTTTTTTATACTTTTATTATATATATTTAAAATATTAAAATCAGCTAATTGAATTATACTCTCTTGGAATAAGTAAAAAAATAGTTGATAAATACTATAAATGAATTGCACATAAATTTAATAGACGATTTAAAAATAAATAGCGAAATAATTTTGACGGATGGAGAGAATTTTGCTAAAAACAAATTAGCTTTTGTAACATAATATATTTTTCGTTCACTCACAAAAAATATCTCATATTTTTTTTTATAAATATCTCTACTTTTCTATCGGTTTACACTAAAAAGCAAGTATAAATTTCTACACTACCTCTCACTGCCTACTATAATTAGAATACTGTTATCTTTTTAAATTTTACGACAAAAATAAATATATACTTCTAAATTGTACGAAAACACTATCATTTCATTCTCTTTTTTTTTTTTCCAAATTGTTTAGTAATTTTTTTTTTTTGAGGTTGTACAGTAAAGAATAATAATACTCCCTCCGTTTCATAACAAAGTATCTATTTTTTCATTTTAGCCCGTCCCATAACAAAGTATCAATTTTTCCATTTTAGTCCGTCCCATAACAAAGTATCCATTTTTCCATTTTAGTCCGTCCCATAACAAAGTATCCATTTTCTTTTTTAGTAACCGTACTATCTACCTAACATTACAAATACCCTTACAACTTACAATATATTACACAAATATCATTACCTTTATATCATCACACGTACTAATAACTAATAAGATTATTTTAGTCATTTCTACTTTATTCCTACTACATCCAAATATAATACTAATATTTTTAAAACTACGTGCAAAAAGCAAATAGATATTTAATTACGGAACAAAAAGAATACTATGGAGACTTTACACCATTTCATTTATTTTGGATTTTGAAAAAAAAGAGTACGATGAAATAATAATAAAAATATTTTTCACTATAATAAAAATATTTTCCACTATTTATATTAATTATATTTGGTCCGTCCATAAAGGTATTCATTCATAACTATTTACGTTATTGTATTAACATTAAAAATATATTTATATCTGTATAATTTTTGTACTAATATCATTATATTAGTAGTATAAGAGAAGTATTTTTGTCATTTTTCTTGATTTATAAATATTTTAATAAAATAATTAATATTTAAATATCAACACGCAAAAAGTAAACGAATACTTAATTACGGGGACGGAGAAAATTATATATTATCAATTTCAAATACTCTATTCCATCCACCTCAATCTAATTTAATTATTTTTTGTTTTTTTTCTGTAGTATATTATTAATAATACCATCGCCATCTCGGGAACAAATAATTATCGGATTCGGGTACAATTATTTAAGTAATGCACATTAATTAGTTAATGCATGATATTTTTTTATTATTTTTTACATGTTATTGATATTTAAAAATATGAATTAATATATATGATTAAAAAGAATTATGAAAAATATAGAGTATTAAATGTAGATAAATTATTTATTTATTGAATAAAGAGATTGAAATAAAATAGTCCTAAATGGATTACTTATAATATGTTACAAAATTAATTAAATTAATCTATATTTGTTAAATATATTTGACGAATAAATTTACTAAAAATAGAAACAAATTATATATTTTGGGACATATAAAAAGAATAACGGATCATTTGAGACCACCGAAATAATATTATTTTATTAGTTAATAGAAATATTTAAATAATTTTGATATTTAAATAATATTATTTTATTAATTAATAAAAATGTATAAACTAATTTTGCTATTTTTAATTTATGTATTCTCTGTATAAAATAATAATAGGAATAATAATATATTAATTATAAAATAAAAAATATTTTAATATTAATAAATTATTACTTTTACAATAATGTGAAATAATAAAAAAGATTTTTTCAAATGGGATAAATTTTAGGAAAGTTGGTATCTGGGTTTAAATTCAATCCATCTTATTAAAAAGTTTGATCCGCACTCCTCACTTTTAATGTTTATTTAAATTCAATCCCTATTTTTTTTTTTTCATTAAGCAGTGAAATATAAATATGATGTACCCCTAAAATATATTTAAATACTTCTAATGTTTTTTATATATATTTGTAATACATCTTGCTCTATTTATACTACGTTTCGTTCTACTTAAATTCTTCCACTAATATACTTCTACGTATTTTCTACGTACTTTTGTTTGTGTATTTAAATATTAAAATAAAATAAAAATAATAATTATAGTCACGTTTTATTGCGGCAGTGAGGAAGAAAACTACTATGGGTTTGTTTACCCAAAGTTTTTCTCAGACACGATTTTCAACATATATATTATAATTTTACAAAATTCAACATTTAATATAAAATAGTATTATTTTTTATATTATCGACACGATTTCTTATACCTCACATCAAAATAAAAAATTCAAATCAAAACGCTAAACAAACAAATCCTATACGCTTCTCATAACTCTAAAAAAAATCTTATAGCTGTCATTCTCGTTTATGTACCACAATACATTGAAATTTATCCTCCTCCGTGCAACCGATCACTCTCATTTCCCCTCAAATTTATTCATATTAATTGAAATTTCTAAATTTGCACTAACATTATTGTGTTATGAGAGTGTAATTGTAAAACAATATATATAATATAAGAATTACAATGTGACAAATTTATTGAAATACAATCCAAAATAGGTATATAGAATTTAAATAAATCATGGTATGTATCTATATATGTATATATATATATTCATTCAATCAATATTAGTGAAAATTAAAAAAAAAATTACAATAGAAAATTAGATATATAGAATTTTAAATACAACCATAATTATATATATCATTATATCAATCTTTGTTTATTTACTATTCTAATTCTACCAATAAATGAGAAAGTTTGATATTAATAATTTATATTATTATTCAAAAAATTATTATTATAATTATATTTAGCGTAATATAAAATAGTACGTAAACATTATACAAATATTATAAACAATATAAACTTTATTATAGGATTCAATAATAATATTAACAAAATTTTCTATATATAAATTATTCTATCAAATATTAAAAATCATATATATAATATACAATTTTTTATTATTAATACTAGTAATAAATTTATTTACAGTATTCTATATATTTTAAATACTTATTATATAAAAATCCTAGACTTTGTTTTATTATATAAAAATCCTAGACTTTGTTTTTTTTGTATATTAGTTTGAAAAGAAATTTGTTTACGTAAAATATAAATCTTTTTGTATATAATATAAAAATAATAACTGTGTAATATATTATTTTTTTTAGAAAAATGTGTTGAAAATTTTTTACAAAGCAAACGAGCCTTTATTTTATAGAAAATAAAATTTAAAAAAAATAAAATTAAATAAATTTTAAATAATGATTTAGTTAGGTTCATTTATATTTGCTGTTATATTGTAATAATTTTTCCTACAAAAAAATTTATATTAAATATACAAATAGATACTTACACAATTTTGTATAATATTTTTTTTCTTCCGTATTTACTATTATTTCTATTTTTTTTAAACATGAAAATAAATATAAATATAAAT